AAGGGAAGCGAAACTCAGCATATAATACAGAACTCTGGTTTCTGCAAGAGGGCGCTTCCAGGTTTTCCATGGCTGCTGCATAGGCGACAGAGTTTCCGCTTCGTTCTCTGATCGTATTGCCGCTTTATAGCTGAGGCTTTAGGGCAAACGTCACACTAAGTGTTGGGAGCTGCCGTTGTTCTGCAATTCCAAGGCGGTGCAAATTGTTGTAGATTCGCCCGGCCGACCTGCAGAGGGACTGAGAGATTTGCGTAGCGGCACGTAGCTGGCGGAAGAGCGCGCTGGGTACAGAGACGGTCAACGGGGATCCCTGACCACTGCATGTGCCGGTTTCACCTCGTTTCTCAGTTTGATTGGACGTACATAGATTATAGTTCGGCTGCCACGCCAATCAGTCACCGCCAAGAATATCGCTAGCTGATTGCAGTCTGTCGTGAGCGCCGCACTAAGATGAGAGATGCTTCATCAGGACCAAGCCGTTACCTCAAAGATGCGGAAAAGAGACGATGGTTGAACCCCTTTCAAAAGTCACAATGGCAGTTCCGTACTCGATGTAGGGGGATCCCCATCATTTCGCAACTAGGGCTGGAAAATTTCGGAACGTACTGGCCGCTAGTATGAAGTTCATCTTGTGTCCAATCGGAAGGCCGTAATGCGCCACGCTGGCAACAACTTCCACACCAAGCCGGCCGGGCCTTATTTGCGCTTTCTCAGCCATGCTCCAACTTCTTTCTGAGCTGATTCCAAAGGAAGGCGGTGCCTGTGTTCCTGCATTCTCTTGTAATAGTATACGGAGCCGAGGATTGTAAGGAAAGAAAATCCTCCTTCTGGCATCGCGTGTCTAGGGGTCACAGATTAGGGTTCCGGGTGTCTAACTTGGAAGCGTACCGTTTGAGACCAGAATGGACCTGCAGGTGTCACCAGAGACGCGCTTTTTAACTGTAGATGGGGACATCGGGCTGGAGGAGGAGGAGGGGCGGAAGCTGTCAAGAAACAATATCCTCAACCAGAGCGCCAAAAACTTAGAGCTCTGCATTGTGGCACGCCCACGCATATGATGCTGAAAGGGGATATGCTTGAGTGATCATCAAGCATGTGACTGTTGTGTTCTATCGGACAGGCCTTGGAGCATTCTGCTTAAGGCCCTTGGGTTTCTGTGTCAGCCAGCTTGTCTTCATGCTTCGCAAGTTGCAGACAGTTGCCTTTTCTGATTGCAAGCCCAATATGACCTTTGCATCTCCACATAAGCTGAGCTCCTTGACTGATGTGCACTGTTCATTGGGGGGTTCTTCGCGCTTCCCTGGCTGTGGTTCGTCAATTGCTACTATTTCTGGCCGGTCCTGCGCTATGGGGGCGACTCCGTCATCAGGAAAAGTAAGCACCAGATCTCAACAGCGGTTGTTGAAGAAACGTTTTCTCATCTTATGTTACAAGACCTGGTGCAGGTTACTGACTGTATTAGTCTTTGTAATTGTTGACTCTAGCTAGAGTGGAGCTCAGAAGCTTTTGCTTTGCCCTGTTGCAAGACAAAGAAGGTTGGATTCAAGCAGTCCTAAAGTGCTCGCACGACCCAATGATTTCTGTTCAGTCAACTTTCCCATATTGCAGGGCGCATTACTCGTGGCCCCAAAACTTGTTGTTGATACTTTCTGCGCTTGTTTCTGTAGATACGGTACATTCGCTCATCGGCTTCACCCTCTTCACTGCTCTTCTTCTTCCATGGACCCTCACCTTCGCCATTGGGGGAGAAAGTGTGATCGGCCCAGTCTGGAAAAAGTTAGCTGTGTATGTCATCATGCCAGAGAACCTTGCATAACCTTAGGAGGTCCTCACAGACATCTGGCGCTAGTTGAGAGTGTTCCACCCTTGCAGCGGCAGGGTAATTGGAACACAGAGAGACAAAACACAGTTGAATCGCTAGTTAAGTCGATCTGGTCTGAGCAAAGTAAATTGTCATGGGGAGTCGAGTTGTTTAGGGCCTGGGAATGAAGAGTCAGCTGAGCCTGCTTAATCTGCTATCTGCAAATCCTCCCTTTCCGACCTGTCACCGGCCGGCCGTTTGCACTGGCGAGCTGCACCATTGCATGTGTAATTCGGCGCTGTGGGCACATGGTGTAAGACCTAGCACTTTGCCAGCGGAGGTATCATCATGTGACAGCTAGCCTGTAAGCGCAATTAGAGAAGTTGAGGGACGAGGCAAAGCACGTGGGGACTGGATTCCAAAGTTCAATTTTAGGTGCAGGAGCTGCATAGCCGCCTGGGGTCGCGCCGAACTTCTGAACATCTTTGGAATCTGCAAGAGTCCCCTCCACATCATCCATCAAGTGCAAAAGGTACGTGTGCGCATGGCTGGGTTGGAGGCAGCTGCGACCTGTTACTCCAATTGCGAACAGTTTGTATTACCAGGGGCCCGCTGCATGATAAGTTTGGTGTACGTGGTTGAAAGCTTGAGTTCACCGTATACCTACGTGACTGAGTATAACCTGTATTGTGGCACTAGAACACATGTCACGCAGTCAATCGAATATATGCGAGTTATCCATATAGAGCATGCCACAGTTGTCCCTAGCTGAGGTATGTGCCGGGTCACGGTCACTCAATTATCGGCGTCATTGCAGTCAGTAAGCTGCACGTATGGCATGCTAATCAAGGGCAAACTTGAAAGCACATGTATGATTACAGTTGTGCACCTTAGGCCCAGTGAATTCCATCAACAGCAGCGGCATGCTAGGCAGCATTTACAGGACCTGCCTAGTGATCCAACATCTCCTCAACGATGTCTCACAACAAATCACTGGGAGTGACTGAGCGCCTCGGTAGAGGGGTCTCAGCAAAGACCGTGCACCGCAACCAAAGCTTAAGGACGTTGTGAACAGATATTGACTACCACCCAATACGGTGACCTTGGTCGTCGAAACGCGCCTGTTTGTTAGTACCTGACCCTTGCTTACTTTCTAGTAAAAAGCAGATCAAGTCCTTGTCAACACGTCCTTAATGGCTGGACAGTCGTCTTCATTGGACAGAATGTCGACCACGTGCAACACCATCTCAGTGACGGCATCAACGGAGTGAGCATGCTCGCATAGCTGCGCACAGCAAAACAGCATAATGTCATTTGGTGCTTTTGCACACAACAAAGCACCATCCGACCTTCAAGATGTTGCTTCATGATGCACGTTACACAAGTGATTGAGAGAAAATTTGCCTCTCTGTAAGTATATGCTCAGCTGCTCTAGAGCCCTGCAAAACCTGTGCCACCCTCACCCCGCAGGCGTTCATTTTGCGATTGGATGCGAACGAGAAAGATCAGGCACCTGGAGAATGAACCAGCGCTGCTTCATAAGCATTTTTCTTCTTAAACAGTACTCTTAGCAGTACGATAGCTCACCTTCTCCAATCTCCGCAGCTTTTCGTGATAGAACCTTCTCTCTTCGTCCACCAGCTTCACCTGCCAGCGAAGCAAAGGAACTAAGCAGATTACTGGACCGCAAAAATGGTGTGCCCCCCAACCCCCCTCCTTTTTTTGAATGTCAATCCGGACGTCGAGGTCTGGTCCTTCCTTCACCGAAGGGTCTCCATATCTTGCGTTATCAGGATTTGGCAGGTCGCTGTAGCCCTAGTGTCACCCAATCTCAACGAACTTTTCCTCGTTTTACTCTTCTCGCATTCCTAGCACTGGGCACAGCTTTGAATCGACAAAACGATCTTATCCAGGAAGAGCTGACGGAGGGATAAAGAGGGGATCTGAGCCGCCACTCAGGAGAGCGGGCTTGGACCCGCCTGGAGTCAAGAACTTCGTCTACCGATGAAGACAACTTCGCCAAAAGTTCCAAGTACGGAACCCGCAACACTTCTCTCACTCACGGAAGCTGCGCTACAAGTGCTCATGCCGAGTCGCACCCCTCACCTCCTTCTTGAGGTCCGCAAATGCCCGCAACCGCGAGACCAGCTCGCTTTCCAAGTACGCAATCAGGCTCTCAAGCTCCGCTTGTTGCCGCCTCGTTTGTGCCACCCCCCCGCCGCCTGACGCTATTGACCCCCGCTCTTGCGCGCTCGACTTTATTTTGCCCCCCTTCTGCTCGCTATCTCTCCGACTCTCACCGCCTGTGCCGCTAGGTCTTCTCGACCCCCCCACGGCGTCGCTCATCCGTTCACTCCCCGATTCTTGCTCGCTCGACGCTCTCGCTCCCCGGTCTAGTTCGCTCGTTCGATGAGACTCAATCCCTGAAAGTCGCTCTCCTCCTAGATCCTCTCTCTTGTTTCTCGCATCCCCCTTCGCGTTTCGCGACGCCTCTCTCGCGTCGATCTCGCTTCCCCGTGCGTCTCTCAAGCTGTTGCCCCCCTCGAACTGCAAATCCTCCAACTCCGCAAAAAGGGGGTCCGCCAACCAGGCTTCTTTACCGCGCCCGAGCGTCCCCCCGATCCAGCTCACGCGCTCATCCAACCCCTTCCAATCGTCACTCCCCCGAGCAGCCGTTCTACTCTCCATTAACACCGGCCCGTCAGCTGAGGCCCTGTCGGGACGAGTTCTACTAGGGGCGGCCAGGCTCGGCGTTTCGCCAACAGGGCCTCTCGGTCTTCTCGGGGGGTCAAGACCGGTGCTTTCGGCTGCGTTACTGCTCTGTCGCTTTGCTGTGTCCACGGAAGGGCGAGCGGGTTTGACGCCGTTTAGAATGGGGGGTTTGGCCTGAGGGGGAGCGTCTCGTACTGGGCCCTCGTGCCATTCATACTGCAGACGGGAACCGTGTGGTTAAAGTTGCAAGGGGGCGGGAGAGTTCAGTGGAGCTGAGACTAAATAAGCGCAGAGATTGTCTTTCACAAAGATTTCAGGTTGAAACCACTCAACCAAACTTTCGAACGGTCGGAGGAGACACCGCTTCCGGTGGGCAGGAATGGGCGAAGATCCTGTTTATGCTGACTTTGATAACCATCCGTCAAAAGGGAATCTCACGTCTCGAAAAAGGAGTCGAGCTATGGAGATGCCCTTTGCTGGTTGAAACCGGAGAGTTCAGACGGTGTTGATTTTCACCTCGTTCGGCACCAGGTTGTTATTCAGCTGGTGCTGCCGCCCTTTAGACCGACTCCCAACCCCCCCCGCGCCCTTCTTCTGGCGCTCCTGAGCCGCCCAGCGCCTCTCGAAAGCCTGCAAAGACGTTTCCAATTTGAATTCTAGAACTTCGACAATTGCAAACCTCCGTTTTGATTGTGTGGTCAATCAGAAAGAAATGGCGCGGCCCTTCTCCGTTGAACTTCCGTATTTCATTCCTTTGATCGTCAAGACTGTGCTGGGTGTTGCAGGCAAAGGTGCGTGCTCACAGGTTGCCAGCCGTCCTTAATCAAAGAAGATCAGATCAAAGTTCCGCTGTTACTGGTTGTTCTTTGTTAGATTTTAAAGGAATGATACATCACAGCTCGGTGAAGACAAATGCGCACCGGCTGGAGTCGTAACACTTTGCTTGGCGCTGGGTTTGAACATCCAGCGTCGACCTTCGTAGTTAGAAGAATTTTGATTGCTTCTGCGGTGCTCACCTTATATGCATCGGGAGGGACGTAACTGTTCTTTTGGAGGAGCGCATGCAGCCACTGCAAAAACTCGTTGTTCTCCTGCACAGTGTAATGGAGGCGGTCCGTCAGACTCAGCAAAGGGGCGATTTAGCAGTGCTTCAGGGAGGGCGGTCTGTCAGGCTTTTGCCGCAGGAGCGGTCTGTTTCGTGTGTTCGAGAGGGAGCGTCTGTCGAGCATTTGAGGGGCGGTCCTGCTCGCGTCAGGGGAGAGCAACCTGTGAGGCTACGTGAACGGATCTCGCTCTCGCCTTGATGAGTCTCCTGAACGACCGATAAGACGGGGACAACATTGAAAAGATGACTTGGTCGAACCTCCCCTTGATACCGATTCACAGCCTTCGCGCTGGAAGCCTTTCTGAATATAGTATTATGTGCCGTTCAAGATGACACGCGTCTACAGAACGCATTCCTTTTGTTGCGAGGACTTTCTCGACGGTTAAGCTTCCTTCACAGGTATTCAAAAGTCATTTGGCTTCACTTGCACAATCCTCAGGCTCTCTGTCAGCTTTGTTCGCACTGCAATCGGTGCTGTCTGCAGCTCATGAACACTCGCTTCCGAGCAATTGCCGCGAAAACGACCACCTCTTTCATGATTGTAGCGTCAATTGGAAGGAGCGTGGCATGTTTGACACGTAAGGAAGAGTCTTCTGACCTGGAACTTGCCCTTTGCAAGTCCCGGCACGTCAATGTCCTTCCGAACCCCGAGCTTATACATTGCCTCCTCCAGGATCCGCAGATTCTTCATGTTGTCATCCAACGTCCGGGCTGTGAAGCTCAGCTTATGGAGGGGAACGAGCCCCGGTGCCAGGGTGTCGATGAGCTGGCAATAAGCTATGCCTGGAGGAATGACCAGGTATCATAAGCTGAGAAGCGACGACTGACTGTTAGGCTCAGCCTTGACAAAGACGAGCGTATCAAAGTAAAGTGGAGTCTCTTCCAAGGCTGGGAAAAGGTACAAGAGAAGCATCAGAGGTTGCATCTTGGTTTGAGCCACACTAGAAAAGTAGAGACTCTCATTGTAAACTGCAGAGCAAAGTCAACGGAAGTTTCTTATAGAGAACTGATGGCCCTGCTTATTTAATTCGTGAAGGGATGAGAGTGGATAATCAAGATAGAAGAGATCTACAGAGACACAAGAATTACAATCACACTGCAACAAATCATCAGGTGTCGAGAACAGCTTTCATGAGGTGGCGACAGTGGAGAAAAGTACAGCTTTCGTGATAAGGAGGACGCACTTGAGATACTTAGACAAGGTCTAGAAATCGCATAATCATATTATGTGTTTCAGAAAGGTAAACCTGTACAGTGTGTCTTTCTCCCCTTTGCGGAACAGTAAAACGAGCTTTCCGGTAGGTCAAGGTTTGTAAGAGGTGGCACTGCAAAAGTTTTTGCTTTGATTACGACTGCCAAGCAAGTGAGTGAATCTTAAGTGATCTGATAGACTAAGCTCAGCCTCACCATCGGCACAGTCCTGAACCTTCGCATAGTCAGTCCGAAGCGTTTCATTTAGCCAATTGAGCAGCTCCTGAAGAAGAAAGACAATGTCGTCAGCACTTGATTGAAGTCCATTGAAAGTCTATCTCAGGCTAGCTCTCAACTCCTCTCCAGTATTGTACAAGTAAGTACATCATGGAGATGTTCAGTTGCGCCCTTTCTTGGAAATCAACATCGGTACCATACTGAGAAAACTCCAAGTGTGCATGGACAATCTTGGGATGTACCTCAAGCACAAGATTGTCCACATGTCTTGGTCCGCTGCTTTAGGCGCTGGTGGTTAAAACTACCACCACCAGAAAGATTTGCTCTATTCCCCCTCTCTTCAATGCAGCTCAGCGACGTCTCTCCAATCAAGCAGAATAGAAACGAAACTGCAACTTTCGCATCATCCAGAGTCCACTTTCTTGGACATCGTAGACACATTGGTTAGTATGCTACTCAATCAGCGCATGTACCATGCTACCGTACCATATGCAGATTGCTTACTTTCCCTCTTTCCACATTCCCAGCTGTCATAGGTCGTACAACATAGCAGATCACATTTTGAGACCTGCATTTCGCAAAATTGGTGTGTCTTCCTCACCAAGCGTCCCAGCTTCTTCTCGATCCGCACAACTTGCTGCACCTTGACCTCATTCATGGTGGCAGGAGAGACTGTTTATAAGTGACTGGCTGCAGACCAACTCCTCTCCTCTGAAGCCCCGAGGACACTCTTGAGCAGAACTTGAGAGGCCTTGCGTCCCCTGCGCCGCTCATGCAAAGGGCGCGCCGCCACTATTCACCCTGGTTCCTCAGCTGGGGCCCGGGGGCCAGCTCGTTTTGGTTATCAATATTAATCAATGCCGTCTCAAAACCCTAGAAAGCAAACCCTAAAACTTAGTAAAAGGCAAAACACCTTGCTCATGCTGGCTAGGGCTACAACTTTTGCCAAGCTAGTTTCAAAAGGGATCCAGGGAGTGAGCTTGTAGGCGCTGTTGTTAAAGTAGCAAGATTCCTCCAGGGAACCGGAGAAGATTGAGATAGGTAGGAGACACGGAAAGCGTCACTCTTTGAGGGAAGGGTATGGCCTCCATGACAAGCGGCTCTCTCCGCTGTGCTTCGTCGCTGCGCTTGCAGTTGGCGGGCCCAGCTAGTCTTCAAAGGATTCAGGACTTGCCACCCGGCATCGTCGTTCCTAGCGCGTTGTGTCTGACGAGTGCTAGGGTGCAGAGGAGGGAACTGTCTGGTTCTGCTGCTTCAGACTTTGCGAACGGGGCCCAGTTGCTTCAAGAAAGCACAGGTATGAAGTTCCTTTTTCAATTGTGAGTTGTGAAAGCTGGTCTGTTGTCCTCTAGAGGTTTCTTTAATTGGAGACTGGTATGTAGTTCTGAAGATCTTATTGTTCGGCACTATCTATACACCGGACTGACTCGATCAATGAGGGGCCCGGCACGTACAAACATTGCACTTGTCGAAGTTGTATCTGGATAGGCAAAAGAAAGTGTGAAACAGCATAGACAGAGCGGGTCGTTTGAAAAGATGCAATGCTGTCACCAGTGTGAAAAGTTTTTTCAAGGGCCCCCAGCACTCAACCCCAACAATCGCCAACTCTGTTCTTCTTGCTTTGTGATGCTCTGACAGGTTCTTGATTATGCCATTTGAGGATTCCATTGCTTCCACAATGAAGCATCACCTTCGAAGTTGGGGGTTTCAAGTCCCTAGTGCAACCCTTATGACACACATATTCCCTCCCCGCCTTGATTCCTCGAAAGCCCCCCCGGTCCTCAAGAAGCTTAGTTGGTCGGCCCCTAAGTCTGCTTTCTTGACCGTGCAGAGAGGCCGAGGGAGGCCCAGCGCTCTTTTATGGTGACGGCAAGGAAGTTTGGGTTGATGGAGTTGATGAAGCCAACCCGAGAGAGGTAGGCGCGTGGCCTTTCCTTATGTTTCCCTGTCTGCGAGACAATGTGCTTCAATTGGTCTCCTTACAGGTCTGATTGACCCCCTCAAAGTTGAGTGGTATTTGCTGCTGCTTTTAGCTACCGGTACACAAAATCTACAAACCAGAATGCCCAACCGTCCTGCCTTTCTCTATTCCACAGAGACCTCGCAACATCGGATTTGTCCATCGCCATCAAACAAGACTGCGACTAGTAGGTTAACACGTCTTGTAGGTCGACAAATCCCGCGTGTGCATGTGATTCTATGCTTTGCAAGAGGACTAAGGACTTCAAACCCCCTCCTAACGTACCGCAGGGGCCCAGGATCAAAGCGCCTGGAGCGAGGGCAGGTCTCCCCCACCCTAGTTGTCCCCCCCAACATCCCCCGTCCCTCATACGCTGAAAGCGGCGTCTCCCCCCCTTTTGAGGAGGACCACCTTCAGATCCACGACGCAGAGGGCATCAAGCGGATGCGCGCGGCGGGGAAACTGGCGGCGGAGGTGCGGGACTATGCGGGGACGCTCGTCAAGGTGGGTGTAAAACAATCACAGACCCGTCTGCGTTGATTGAGGGGGCCCAGCCTAGGTAGATTTCGTCGCTGATTTTGGAGCTTGCATGCTGGCCGTTTTACTGAGACCGCCGTCTCCTTCTAAGCGCACGTGACTTGATGGGTGCTACTGTTGAGGTAGGGTGTGCGAGTCCGGGCGGTTGAAACACTGCTCCTGGTGCGAAACCCCATAACTGTTGGACTGGTCAAAAGAGCCGATTGTGGATGACATTTCGAAGACCCGAGATTTTTATCGTTGAAGATGATATTCCAGAAATGTTCCTACTGACTTGAGTCGATTTTCAACTACCCGCGTCATAGGGTTCAATTTGAAACGTATGAGCCCACCGATTGGAAATGGTCGCTCACAAGTCAGCAACCGCACATGTAAGCCCCCATCTCCAAGGAAAGAAGAGCAACGGACGTTTGCGTTCTCCGCTAGAACGCAGGAGAATGCTCGAAGCTGCGGGATTGGAGCAGGGAGATTAAGAGAGGCTTCGTGTGTTCTCAATAAAGGGCGCAAGATATATTCTGTCAATCTCTTGAAGCTCAGAATGTACATTTCTGACTACTCAAAAGGAGCCATTCTGACTGTTCCCTTGCCCCTGCAGCCTGGTGTCACGACGGACTCCATCGACAAGGCCGTGCATAAGATGATCATCGAAGCTGGCGCATACCCTTCCCCCCTCAACTACGGCAGATTTCCGAAGAGCGTTTGCACGTCTGTCAACGAGTGCATATGCCATGGCATACCGGACTCGAGACCACTGGAGGTGCGGTTTTCACCTGCCTTTAGCTGATTCGAGGTTGAGATACGAGTTTCAGTTGCCAAAGGCTTCCGACATAGTGCAATCGTTTGGAGGTGGCATAGCGCAAGGGCTTGAGGTGACGGGAGGAAGTTGAAGAATGGATCGGAAGATACGCACGGACGGACTAATCTTCTTGTTATTTTGAAAGACTGCAACAGGAAAGAAGAGGTTGAAACCCGCTGTTGGCAAGACGGTAGGGGACGTTCATGTGTTTTCCATCGGATACGGGTCTGGAAAAGCGGAAGTTTTTCCTAATCCTGTTAGGGGCTTCTACGGAATCTCTCGTCGTGAAGACCTCTTACGGTCAACCTGCAAGGAATTACTCGCTGAATCAGCCCGTTTCTCGTTGCAGGATGGCGATATCATCAACATCGATGTGACAGTCTTCCTGAATGTAAGTGAGGCCAAACAACCCCGAAACAGTAGGCAAAAAGGCGCCGACATTCAAATAAGGCTCTTCGCTGCTTTATATCTCCCTGAAATGGCCATGAAGCCTATTTTTTGAACCCTTGCCTTAGGCTTGAGACACCGCCTAACGCTCTTGGTATGTCTTTCTTTCTTAGAGACGGTAAATGAGTTTTGTCAGGTTTCTGCAAGGTCCCTAGATTCGTACATCTGGATTTAAATGCAGTGCAAGATTGGACCTTTCAAAGTCAGGTTCGCTGACACTTTTTTCCTGAGGTTCGCAAAGGTTCATCACTGACTCCTGTTCGGTTGTCAGCCCGTTTTGTCAATGACGACCTCGGAACCTTACAACCAGTTATCACTGAAATACTTCCGCTTTGTGAATCAGGGCTACCACGGAGACACGTCCGCCACCTTCTTCTGCGGCAACGTTGCTCCGGAGGCCAGAAGATTAGTGGCGGTGAGTTACGCAGCATTCTGAAAAGCGACTTGTTCGCAGCCCGAAGTGTACGTTGCCTTACGAACCCATAGGCGACATTCTTCGCTACTTTTTGCTTCTTTCGTCTCCAAGTCCCAGCGCCTTGATCGGAATAAGAGTCGGTTATCCTGAGCCGTTGACTTTTGGGGAAATTGGATAGCTACGTTAGATGCCCCTCTTTAAGTTGGGTGTTTATATTTCCGCTCGAACATCGAAGACCGCTTGGTGCTACTGGATTGCATTCGCGGGGAGTAGCGACTAGGCCTTCTACAAACGATGGATCAGGAACTGAATTTGAGTCTCCTGTTGTCGTCTGTCAGGCTACGAAGGAGGCTTTGGACGCTGCGATTGCCATCTGTGCACCAGGGGTGCCGTACAACAAGATTGGCAAGACGATACAGTAAGTTGAAATCGTCGCCGTTGTCCCCTTTCTTGTTTGGGTCTTGCAAGCAACTGCGGGAAGTGCACTCTATTCGGGACTGGATGTATACTGGACAAATTGACACAAATGAACTTCTCCTCCTTATGGGCGATTAAAATCGGCGTGCGCAAGGGAGCCGGCCTGACTCTGGGTTTTTAGACTCCCAACTATGCAAGATTAGTCCGGATCGTCGACTGTTCTCAATCAGAGCTTCAAAAGGCGGTCTGAAATCAAGATGGGCTTTCCGCCTGTCAAAGGTTTGGCCCCAATCGCCGGGGATTTGGTCGAGGGTGAAATTCCGACCGTTTAAAGTTAGGGCCTGACCGTTGAGGTTTCGGTCCGGACTGTCAAGGATCTCACCCCATCGAGGGTCAGGGACTAACCCTGAGGGTCAAGACTTGCTGTTGAGGGTTTGCCGCTGACCCGAATCATTGTGTGCAGTGCCATTGGTGACAAATACAAGCTGGGCGTTGTGCATCAGTACATTGGCCATGGAGTCGGGCAGATCTTTCATTCCGGCCCCACGATCCTACATAATCGTGAGTCCTTTCAACAAAACGCGGCTAAAATCTATTTGAAGTTTGAACGTCGGATGTGCCGGATCTGCGATCTGCGACTTGGCTCTGCTTTATTGATAAAGTTTACCTGGATTCAGAGACTCGTCAAGAGGCTTTGCTGTTCTAAAAGCGTAAAGTTGCGGCATGCGTTGTAGAACGAGTCGTCTCACTAGATTGCATCTTCGGCCCTTGAAAAAGGGGGAGCGAGCTGAAGGGTTTCTGCGAAGCTTTTGTTGACGTCCTTTTTGTGCGCCCGTCTGAAGTCTCTTTGATGGGCCCTTCTGAAGTTCCTAGGTGCTCGGCGGGGTAATATAGGTTGGACCTGTCTTTTTCAGCGTGATAAAAACACACCGTCAGCCCTCTCATCCGAGCTTGATCTGCCTCCAGCAAGTCCACAACACACGTTTGTCAGACCTCTTAACTGTAGTCAAATTTTCCCACCGAAGAATCATTATCATCTCCAGACAATTCATAGAATTGTGCACCGAACAAAAAGCGCACACCATAAAGTTCTCCGGTTCGGGATCGTGTTCAGCGCAGTTGCTTTTGCAAGCCCTGTACAAGCTAGTTGAGTTTATTCACAACCGAAGGCGTTTTGAGTAATAGAGAGGAATTTCTGTCGTCAGCATCCCCCAGAAGCATCCGAAGGGTCTGGTTGGCCGTGCCTGGCCCCCTTGAGCTCCTCAGAGTTTAAGGTTTTTCTACAGACGTGTCTAGCTAGTTTCGTTCTTTATTGAGCTCTACCTACTAGCTACAGAATGTGCGGCTGTTGAAATCCCGCTTGCTCGTTTTTAAGCATTGGCGACGGTCGCGAAAGAAGGTATACCGAGCGCTTTCATGTGTTTGCCTGCAGGAAATAACAAGCCTGGTGTTATGGTGAAGAACCAAACGTTCACGATAGGTGAGCCGCAAGTCGCTGTGTCCCGACCTGATTGGCTTGTTTAATCTGTTGGGAATTGTTGCGTTCACCTTTTACTATCGGACCACGAAGCTCTCGGGCCAGAGCGACTTCGTCTTGACCCACTTAGAAAGTCCAAGAAAGATGCGCTCTTTTAATGATCCGCTTTCCGTGCACGTGAGCCAACAGAGTCTTCCTTATAGTCTCTCTTGTAGCTGTTGGTGTACGAAGCTGCACTTTGCTGAATGAAACGGTCTCTGCTCACTCACTACTGTCTCGCATGTATAGAACCTATGTTCACTTTGGGAGGAGTGCGGGACCGGGTGTGGAGCGACAACTGGACGTCCGTCACAGTGGACGGAAGTTGGAGTGCTCAGTTCGAGCATACGCTATTGATTACTGACAACGGGGTCGAAATTCTTACAGCCCCTTAAGAGTAACCTGCGTGTTGCTGGGTTTTCAGTTAGCCACTGATTTATGTTGCTTTTGCTCGGGAAGTGCATACTATGATGATACCGTCTGTCCTGACGACTGTGCACGCTTTGATGAATCGTCCGTCATTGTATCTGGCATTGTATCTGCCTGCAGGCTCCGGTTAACCAGGTTATGCTATCAATTACCGCTGCCTTTCAGTGCATGAGAGGTTGAATATTGTCCAGAGTAACACCAAACTCGCCAAACGCATTCAATGTCGGAGCACCTAGTGTCCAACACAATATAATGATTGGGCAGACAATGCTGCGGATCAACCTAGCCGGGATCAACGTAGGATTGGTAAAAGCTATCATGCTCGATTTGGTTTAAGCTTACGTCACAGCTGTTTTGCAAGCTCGGCCGCAGCTGAGCTCTCTGTGACTGAGCAGCGTGCTATAGTCCGATGATCTACATTAGATCATCCAAGATGATGGCCGCCAGCTGCCGGCGGGCTGTGACGGACCTGCAGCTCTTTTGCATACGTCACGTGTCACCATCCACATACATTAATTGATCATGTGATGCATGCATGCGGCATTCAAATGCATAGAAACGTCCATATGAAGGTGATCATCGGCCGGATATGGTCACTTGTTCTTATAAACCCGGATACCATGCAACTTAGGTGAAGTATTTTGACGGTACTGACATGAACTTATTATGCTCTAGAAGCATGTTATATAAATGTAATTGACTGGTCTGCCTTGCAAACGCCCGGGCCCCCCGGGCAATTGTGGTATACATCAAATTGAGGCCCGAGTCAAGTTCGCTGCAAGGAGCTGCTTCATCACACGTCCTAGACCACGCATAGCTGAAGCATTTATTGCAAATCATTTCGCGTCGGGCCTGGAATGAGGATCGGCCCCAATATCCAATCTTTAATCTACTGATTGGCGATTCCAATGGTGGCCCACAATGCGAAGTATGCTATTGCATGCTATGTTGACTAAGTCTGCTGCCCGGAAAAGTTTTATACACACAAAGAGCAGGCTGCCAACAATGCCGCACAAGTCACAAGCATGCCATGCAGCTGTCACTGTAAAGAGGAATTGCTCGGTAGCTGCCAATGAATAGACTGATGAAGCAGCCCCAAGGTCTTCCTTTTTCAGTTGCTCAACTTGAATGTTTGAAAAGTTCCATGCAAAACCCAACGAGACTAAAAGCAGGTAGACGGGGCTTCGTTCGGACAAATTCGCCTCATGCAATTCGCTTCAGACCGCGCAGCTGGGCTAAGGGTGCGCGTCGACCGAAAAGCTGCACGTACAGTGCGTTCCATATCTCTTAGCCAATCGGATGGCCTTTCAGATCCACGTGGTAACCCAAGGTACATACCAGAGGAGTAACATGGCTTGAGAAGTACCGTACCTCCTACCGGTCGGTACTACAAAGGCAACACTGGAGGCCAAGTGATTTAGTTCTGGTGGCACATGCTCCGTCCGATGCTAATCATCGGAGGGTTAAAGATGGAGCTTTGAGTTGAACACCCCCAGAGGGATCCCTGCGGGGGCTCGGAGCAAGGCTCAGCGAGCTGCTCGGTCCTGCATGCACGCACTTTATGAATGCCTGCATGCACTTTCACTGCATGCAACAGGCACGGAGACGCTTGCAACTGTCTTCGCTGCCACGACTGACTGACTTTCGGCAGCTGACAAGAATGGGGATCCTAGAGCCCTGATCAGTGTCGATCATGAATACGCTCACTTTTGCGACCTGGCTGGAGCAATCTGGACGAGGTTGTAGATGACGGGCCCTGAAGCTGGACACTTCTGTTTCCAAGGAGAAGCAAGACCACACAACGACTCAAAGCAGTCTGATTTGGAAGGAAACCTGCTTTGTTATTGCATGTAAAGTGGTGCTTCAGAGGACGCCGCTTCTCAACTACGAGTTCCAGGATCAACGTTGAGCACTTTTGACAGTAGACCATTTTGAATGAACCCTGTCTGAACCTAATCAGTTGACCAGTTGGCGTCTGATCTCAGCGGAGAGCTAGGCTGTGTAGCGTCGTCCTTCATACTCAACTGTCTGAAAATGGCAGTGACTTCATTGGTCAGCTCAAAGCAGATTCTCGGCCGCCTGAGCTCCGTTTCTGGTGCCTCAGCAATACCATCAAAGCAGGCACGCCCGCTGACTTGCACCGCAGCGTTTGGCACGTCAGGTTTTGCAGCAAGCCTGAGCAGCAAGAAGACGCGTTGTGACAAGACTGGACCGCAAGTTATTAGGCCCAGGATAGCACTAGACTCGCAGCTCTTCAGCATGGACAAAGCAGATTCTCTTCAAACAACTGTGCCTGGGTTTTCCCCAGTGATCAGGAAACGGGGCTCCAACCAGAAGACGACCATGCAAGCCACTGGGACTAGCAGCAAGGAACGCACTGATTCTATAGCGAGTACTCAGGAGGAGGCTGCCTCCAGATTGGGTGTGGGCGGTGCAGACTTTCTGAATGATCCTGACAAAGAGAGGGGCCGCCAACTGGTTCCTGAGGATGTGCATCCATCCGTGCAGTTGCTGATTGACGTGTTAAAAGAGGAGATGCCGAAGTTCTTCTCGGAGAACGGGATCACTACCACAATGTACAGAGAGGATGTAAGTGCATGTTCTTCAGCGTTGGTTGGGTTCGGATGATTGGGGGATCACGGAAGATTAGATTCTTCACATGTGATTACTTTTGTTAGTGCCCTCGGATAGTCTTCCTTCAAGCAGAGCACTATGTGATATGTAACGGTCTAACCAAGTTATCGCGTCTCTCCCAAAGGGGTTCGCTACTACAAGATTAGAGAGCTCGTCTGACAGCTGTTAGATGGGGAGGGTGGCAGCTGGCAAGCTGCATTTGCATAATAATGTTTACGTTCTTGCCGGCTGGAGGGACGACTTCCCCTGTGTGTGCTCCTATTTTGCGATCTGGGCAAGTCCAGTCTTTTGGGCAGCATTGCGCTCAGCGCAAGTTGGTTCAGGAAACTCTGGTTTGAATGGGGTGGCTCTGTTGACAGTTTTCCAGTCACTCTGCGATCTGGCTTTGATCTGATACACAAAATGCACTTCAGTAACTTCTCAGAATTCGACTACGTACAGGTGCATTTCCAAGACCCCCAGAACAACTGGCATCGTCTGATTGGCTTCAAACTCAATGTATGGGTGCTTCGCCTCGTCTTTGCGGGGGGCAAGTATTTGCTGCACGACATCAAGGCCACCGGGGAGAACGAGATCACTGCCAGGTGGACGTTCGACCTGCCCGCACGTTTCTGGCCCTGGTGAGTCAAACCTGGCCGGTTCACCAATGAGAGCTCACTTCTTCCAAGAGTTCAGCCAATAAACAGTCAGTCGAAGGAGTCAAGAACGTCTGTAGATGCCATTTGAGGAGCGGCGTTTGTTTGTTGCAATTCAAACCGTGGATATGCAGAAGGCCGACCGTGTCTATGCACTTCGCAGTCACTTTGACAGTCGAGTGAGTATTTGGAAGAGAAGTCCTTGCGCTGTTTGCTGCCGAAACCGAAACATGGTACGAGTCATATTTGGTTGTAACACTTCGATTGTGATAATTTCTCTGGGTCTGAGACCGGAATAGAAGAACGAGCCATTGTGTTTTGTAGGACGCCGACTGTGATTCTCACTGGGATCACCAAGTATGGCGTGGATCTGAAGAATGCCAAGCTGAACGCGCACATCGACTACTGGGATAACCTGGCAGGAAAGGAGGTACGCAAGCAAGGTTTATTTCAGAAGCGCTTCTTTTTGAAACCATCTAAATATCCACTTCAGGTGGCTCGTCACCAGTTTGAGTTGGCTTCGTAAAGTGGGCTGTCTGTGCTATTGACAGTCGCTCGCGTTAATGTTCCCAGCCGAGAACACTGTCGAGAAGCGAGATACACGTTTTCAAATGCCGCAATTGAGCAGCTTCTCTTGGGTTCTCTGCCGGTCTTTCTTAGAACTTACTTTCAAGCGACGTAGTTCATCCGAGGACTTAACCGCCGAAAGGGTTCGATTTGACCTGTCAAACAAGTTCTGCGCATTGGTAACCTCTGAATGAGCTCGTGACATCGTTTGCATCGCTTGCTGCTGCAGCAAAAGCCCGTTTCGCTGGCCGCCATTTCGTCGGTCATCAAGCAGCTCCAGCCGATGACGGCGTTCAATATCCCCCGGGACGAGCCCCACGAAGTCATCAGGAAGACCAAGTATTACGAGATCAGGTGGGGAACAATTTTGCTCTCTTTACATTCCGTTTGTCAGGACGATTTTGTCCTGGGTGACAGGTTTTGAGGGGGTCCTCTGACATCGCGTGACGTTCCGACAATCTTTCGTGTCAGAACCGTGAGACCATTGCATAGCGTCAACGTCACCCGGGGCTCGTACCTTTCAAAATTGCAATTCACGGAGAGTTTTTATTTCGTTCGCTCTTGAGCGGTTTATGAGTATTGCTCTCATTCCATTCTCCTTGCCAACTTTCTCAAGACATATGCCCGGTCGTTCAGGGTTTATCGTGAGGCCACGGAGCAGTCTTGATGGTGTCTCGAGACTAACAGACGAAGTCGAGAGAGCGGATTGATGGGCAGTTCAAAGCGGTCTCCTCTTGTTCTGTCGCAGGCGGTACGCAATGGATTTGACTGATTCGTCGTCACAGGGAGAGGAGTGGATCGCAGTCGAGCGTGCCAAGGGGACTCTCCTTCGGGCTCTGAAAAAGGATGGTATCGAGTAAGTGATAGTTGGTTGTAGCTTATGGCCTTGGATGCATCTAGTTTATATGCACACTCTCCTTCGAAAAGAGTTACTTGTAACCCATGCTAATGGTTGTCCGACAGGCCACATCTACTCCTGACAAAGTGGGTTACATAGCCAGTTTCAACATGGTTTAAGGTGGACGAAGTCAAGCAAACGATCAAACGTGTACTGCTTCGTCGTCAAAGAGTCAATCGTATCAGATAGGGCCAAAACAACTGTAAACTTTACGACAGGGAAACGCTGTTTCTGTCCGGAAAAGCTTGAGCAGTCGCGTGAGGGTCTTCTAATTGCGTTTCCAGCGGGACTCAGGTTCGGAAGCTTGTGACAAAAGGTTTGAAAGCTTGTAATAGAAGGTTTGAAAGCTTGTGACAGAAGGTCTGAACGCTTGTGACCGTTGATCTGCTCCGTGCAGGTTGAAATCCGAGAAGGAAGAAGTGCGGCGTTTGGATTCGAGTTGGCCGCACAAGAAGATTGAGGAAATCTACGTGCCTGTGTCGTACACGCCATCCGTCTACGATCCTGTAGACTTCACAGGGGCCGAATCTTGGCGCATGTAAGGCTTGTTGCTGCTCTGTGTAGGGCGGGCCGCCGACCTTAGAGCGGAGGGTTAGCGATTGGACGATTGTACAGAACATAAAATCTACATTTTACCATTTTGGTTGGACGGTGTCTCACGTATGAGCAGCGTCTCATTTGTGGGTAAACTCAAGATCAATGGGTTGAACATACTTGAGTCATGTTTTTCTCGCTGTGTAGCCCCCATGTAGGTACTAGCAACGGGTTGGGAATTTGCATGACCGTTGTCTCCCGAAACTGTGAAAAGATTTCTAAACATCATGGTGAGCGACGTTCATGATGCAAACTGGGCAGACAGGACTCGGATTGCAAGTCACATGTGCTAAATCGTATGTTGAGAGCGTTACCGACTCGTGTTCTTGTGCAATCATTGTACAATTAGTACAACATCGTCTATAATTATAAAGAATGGAAACTCGACTTGTTTCAGCTTTAGCAATGTCAGTCTCCTGTTTTATCTTGTAAACGCTCCTTCCTAGTATGACCCAACATTGCCAGACATTTTTATTGGACTTATCTCGCATGCATTCATTCTAGCCAGCTACACAACCTTTGTCCTGGATGTGATAAACAAAAGATTACGAGTCGTTTTTATAGGTCCTGCAGACGCTGGCTGTGCTGCAAGTCCCTGAGATTTCAATTACATGCTTTGCGCTTGAGCCGCATGGAGACGTGCATGTCACTGTTGAACAGCTCTTTACTGGGCTCACGCAATTAATACGATCACACGCTGATAGATCCAGCTTCGAAGGAGTGGGGGCCTGGACGGTTGTAACTAGTGGCTCGTGGGGCGAAATGTCGGCGAAGAAGCTAGCAAAACAGATGTCCTGTGAACCAGTGTTCCATGCATCCTCCTTGAGGAGACGGCGGCTTTCTGAGACACTTTAAGTTTGAGCAGGCCCGTTGGAACCATCATGGTCGCAATGCTTCATGCACGCTTTTCGGATGACGTGGCCAAAAAGTGCAGATCCTGAGGCGCTTTTAGTTCCCGCCGTCCGATGACCATGGTTCAGATATCATCTGACGGTTTCAAGAAGCCGGCACAGAACCGTGAGTGTCGAAGCCAGCTTATCGGACGGTGGTCAAGGGCTCTCCTATTAAAAAGAATCTCTGTCGGAGTCTGAATGGAAAAAGCAAGTCCAGAGTGGATCCTGCATTCCTCCTGCTAGGCCTCAGGCGCTTCTTCTCATCCCCAAAAGATAGCCTTTCGCTTCAAAAGCGATGCTGGTTGAGACATTTTGCTTGTAGTTTTGTCCAGCAGCGACCAGGATTTGAAATCTTTGCGGGGGAGGGGGTAAACAGCTTCTCTCGGAGAACCATACATGGGAGGATATAGCTCTCTCTGCGTATAATGCTAATGCTGGGCGGGGCTCGCAGCACGAGTGCGACATCTGATCTCTGCCGGACTGGCTGAAATGGAGAGCTTCTGTCTGGCAGTTCAGGGGTCTTTGCACACTTCATTAGGGGCAAGCGCCAGTCAGTGCCAACACAGGAGCAGTCGCCCTCATGCTGCATTCATCAGTCAGCGTCCGCTTGAGAGCAATTCAAAATCTTTGAGCAGTTGCAGTCACCTCTCAAGTTCCATTCCCTTCAAGGCTGTTCCGCTCCACAATGTTCATTCAAGTCGCATTGCGCGTGATCAAAGAAGAGGGCTTCACTTGTCTCAATCAAGAGTTGGTGTGACCACAGCAGTTCTTCTAGACCCAACCGCTGGCCCCAGGAGATACAGCACACTTCAACAGAGTGATGGAAGGGACTTTGGCAATGGACTCAATGTGCTCTATGATACCCCTCAGAGGGGTGCTGCCAGTCCACTAGGGGCCTCTCTGGCGCAAGGAAGGGTTGGAGTCAACTTTGCAATTACAACAGACGGCGCAGACACAGTGTCGCTATGCCTCTTTACGGAGGGAGACCTTCAGAATGTGAGGAGACAATGTTGCAGGCTGAGGCAATGGAATGCTGTGCCAGACCTCATTTCAGCATTCCCTGATTCGCTGCATTCCTCTACATCGCTATTCGAAGGAGAGAGTTGTGACTTGAAACTAGGGATCCCAAACAGTTGCAACGATGTTATAGATTGTTCCGCAATCGGCGTCTCTGCAATGCCAATCACCCTGACCTAGTTCAGCAATGTGGTCGAGGAGGGTGCCTGCACAGGTCTCTGTCTTCAACAGCTCTTTGCCTCTGCAATGGTTGATGAAACTTGGATGATCGCGTCTCAGTTCCCTACATTTTCAAGCCGAAAGGCCAACGTATTCTATCTTCCAACACTCCAGGGAACCGTGACAGCAGAGGTGCCCCTTGATCCACTCATCAACCGGACGGGCGATGTCTGGCATGTGCTCCTGCCTGCACTGTCCAAGAACCTGCTCTATGGGTGGCGAGTTGGGGGACCTTTCCTTCCAGAGGACGGCCAGCGGTTTGATGAGACCAAGATCATGCTAGATCCGTATGCAAAGGTGCCTGCAATCTTTTTTTTGAATGTGAAGCTCATGAAAGCCGTGAAGAGCATGAAGAGTTTACTGTGCCTGCAAATTGAGGGCACGCCCCTAAACATGCTGCTGACAGGTGGTCTATCTGCTGCAGAATCGCGGTGCTTTCTGCTCAGACTTTCTGCAAATCGGAGAGAGAAATAGCTACAGGACCTATCGTGGCTCAAGTTTGCAGTTTGCTAAACGCCTGATCGTTGCTTCCCATTGCGGGGCACATCTATGCGCAACAGAATCGAGAAATCAGTAGGAGTCTGCTGACATCAAGAGCCAGCTCTTGTCTGATTGCAACTGGCCATTAATTTTGCTATCTCTGAAACCTTGAATCGAACATGTCAGCAGAAAGAGGCCCCTTAATATGCCTGTTCAGTCGGTGATGTTCTGGTTTGTGTGCAGGCTGTTGTGAGCAGGTCCCAATATGGCATCCCTGGTGGAGACGGGAACTGCTGGCCACAGCTCGCAGGGGCAGTTCCGGATCAGGAGGACGAGGTAAGTTTCTGCTTTTGAGCAACTTCACTTAAAAAGCTCAAAGAGTCCCTTGGCAATCAGGTTCATTGTACAGAGTACAACTGAGAACCTAGTGTGGGCTCACAGCTTCGCCAAACACCGCAACCCCTGAAACCCCTTGAAGAAGCACTTTTTCGCAGTAGGACTGGTAGATTCACACCTTTTGAGCAGAAAATTTAGAAGAGCATGGCACAAAAATCAACGCCCCTGTGTGTACCCCTGCAGTTTGACTGGGAGGGCGACATTGCCCCCAACATTGCTCAGAAGGACCTCATCATCTACGAGATGCACGTGCGCGGTTTCACTCGGCACGAATCCAGCGGGACCTCCGCGCCCGGCACATACCAGGGTCTTATTGAACGGCTGCCGCACCTGAAGCAGCTTGGCATTAATGCGATCGAGCTGATGCCGGTGCATGAGTTCAACGAGCTGGAGTACTATGCATACAACAGCGTGATGAACGACTACAAGTAAGTGGCACTTTACTTGTGTTCTGGATCAGACAGTCGGTCAAGCACCTAGCTTTGACGGTTTCAAGCCAGTCAGCATCTTCGAAATGACTGCCTTACAAGAAGTCAAGATTTTGAAAGCAGATGGCCTCAGCAAAGACAGTCCACCAGGTTCCTCCAACGGAGAATATTCAAAACGGACCTTGGGAATCTGCTCAGTAGGTGGCTTCTGCTGCATGCGGATTGCAAGCCTGCTCAACAGCCTCAAATCCGGGCCGAAAGAATTGAGATTTTGCATCTCAAACTTACGTTTGTCCTCCTGGATCAAGCGAAACATTTTGCATACAGACAACTGAGGCCTTTTGGAATCATTTAGAGCTGGTTAAAGACCGCTTGCTCGGTTGGCAAAGCAAGCCGTCATTGCATCAGTTGAGGAACTGAGTTCAGTGCCATCTAGGAAGATGGGATCGCCAAAACACACTCAGCACGCTTCCTCACACGGTATTTCCCGGTTCTTCAGGATGAACTTCTGGGGCTACTCCACCGTCAATTTCTTCTCCCCCATGACCCGTTATGCCGCCTCTGGAACCGCTAACCGGGGTTGGGACGCCGTAACCGAGTTCAAAACCATGGTTAAGGAGTGCCACAAGCAGGGCATCGAGGTCATCATGGACGTGGTTTTCAACCACAGCGCCGAGGGGAACGAGATGGGGCCGACGATTTCGTTCCGGGGGTTGGCAAATAAGGTGTACTATATGGTGGCTCCTCAGGTGGGGGGGAAGCTTATTTCAACAGTTGAAATAAGCAAGTGCCTCGAACATTTGGCAGTTTGGTGGTGAATCAATGGCAGCAGAGGCATAGACGCAGAAAGGAATATAGTGCCTGTTCACACTTCTTGAAACGCATTAGGCTCGTTGCGACCTTAGTCCCCTCCTACAATGGCAGCACAGTCGTTTGGCTTGACCTTCCGATTCCGTTCAAGGGTGTCATAAGGCCGCACAAACTCAACAATGCATCCCACAGAGTACCAAGACGCTTCCGCTTTTTGCTACTTTCGTTCCCTGAATGACCAAAGCTTCTGCCCAGAGGAACGGCAATTTGGAGCACAGGGACAGATGCATTAGGGGGCAGACTGTTTTGAAACGCGGAACTCTGCGAAAGGGCCGATTGATCTCATACCTGTCATGTCGCTCTTTGCAGGGCGAGTTCTACAACTACTCTGGCTGTGGCAACACCCTCAACATCAACCATCCCGTTGTCCGGCAGTTCATCGTCGACTGTTTAAGGTGCACCTCGCATATTTTCCTGTCCGTTCGTTTAGAGTATCTGCTCGCCTGTCCAGCCGCTTTTTCTGCTGCTTCGATGGATCTCCTGACTTCTGCATCTCCTGGTCTGGTGATTCCTCACCAACCACTTTCGGACTCAACAAAGTTTTACATGCAATCTCTGTGTCGCCTATAGAAATGCGAACGGCAGAGCATATTCTGGGTCATGCGGCGGTCTCGTCTTCGCCTCACTTCGAGGGTCGCTGGCAATTTCGTTGGGAGATCCCGTTGTATGTCTGCCCGAGCAGGCGGCTTCGAGAAGTTGAACGTCACACCAAAGTAACTCAACACCCTCGTCTCCTATTTTGAAAAGATCCTGGTGTGACAGGTACTGGGTGCTGGAGATGCACGTGGACGGCTTCCGCTTCGACCTGGGCTCCATCTTCACACGCGCGAGCGGCACGTGGGAGCGGTCCGAGGTGTTCGGGACGTCGGAGGAGACGGACATCGTCACGACCGGCACGCCGCTGAACGAGCCGCCGCTCGTGGACATGATCAGCAACGACGGGGTGCTCAGAGGGGTCAAGGTGAGCTTCAAATAGTTATACTACAAGCATTTGGTCTTTTTGGATTGGGTTAGCGAGAAGTTTTGATTCCTTTCAAGACGAGAGGAACGCCTTTTGACGAGCCGCTGCTAGTGGACATGATCAGCAACGACGGGGGGCTCAGAGGGGTCAAGGTGAGCTAAAATAGCCATACTACAAGCATTTGGTCTTTTTTCATTGCTTTGAAATAAATCCGATTCCTTTCAAGAAATGAGGAACGCCGTTCAAGGACCCGCTGCTAGTGGACACGGCCAGCAACGACGGGATTCTCAGAGGAGTCAAGGTGAGCTTAAAGAGCTAGACTAAAAGTCAAAGTCTCCTTCCGTTGGGTTGCAAAGTAGATCTACATCCTTTCATCAAGAGAGAAACACCGCTGACCAAGCCGTTATGGTTGACATGGTTGACATGGACGACAGAATTCTCCGAGGGGTCAAAATGAGCTTGAGATAACCATCTGCAGATCGTCAAGGGTTCTTGGATTGGGCTACGGAATGGTGACCTGAGGTCGAAAGTTTTGAGCAAGGTGCCAAACAGGCAAGGTTGTTTTCAACGTACGGTCTCTGCGAATCTGCTGATTTGGAAGAACGAGAGTGGAACGTGGCAGCGATTGTACAGTTACAGAATGACGAGGATCACGGTGAGACGACACAATGCATGTACTGGTCCGCCTGAAGGAAGCTTAGCGTTCATGAGCGCCAACAACTGCGGAAAAGCGGCGCTCCGTGGGTGCGAACGTAACCAATCGTTAGACAGGACGTATCTTCTCGCTTCCCGTTCAGCTCCCTTCTTTGTAAGTCTCCTCACATATGCTGGACTGCGAGCCAAACTATCTTTTGGTACCCGCAAGTTCAAAAAGCTACAAAAGGAAAATGCGTCCAACATCGCAATAACGCCCAAAATAAGTTGTGGTTCGTTCTTCGTCTGCATTCCACCCATCATAAGGTTGCTGATCCTGGCATAGTCAACACCAAACATGTGCGGCTATTTGAATCAAAAACCGTAGGAGAACGATCGATCAAACATGTAGACATCCGGAAGCTCAAGGTCTCACAATATCTTACTCACGACCTTTGATCCGCTCGCAGCTGATCGCGGAGCCGTGGGACTGCGGCGGCCTGTACCAGGTCGGCTCCTTCCCGCACTGGGGCGTCTGGTCCGAATGGAACGGACGCTTCCGCGACGTCGTCCGCATGTTCGTCAAGGGCACGGACGGCCAAGCCGGCGACTTCGCGCAGTGCCTCTGCGGGTCGCCGCACATTTACCAGGCGGGCGGGCGGAAGCCCAAGCACAGCGTCAACTTTGTGACGGCGCACGACGGGTTCACGCTGAACGACCTGGTGTCGTACAACGAGAAGCACAACGATGCGAACGGGGAGCGGAACATGGACGGGGAGTCGCACAACCTGAGCTGGAACTGCGGGGCGGTGAGTGCCTGACATTTGTCTGCATATAGGATTAGCGCAAGGTTTGGGACAGCTTTTTGAGAATGAAGACAGGGTTGCCAGCGGTTTACGTGCCCCAGACCTGGCTCGTTGCTTGGATCCTTTCAGAAGGAAGCCAACGCTATCCAGAGATTGAAAGAACGATATGCAGCAAATTCCGGTAGGCAACTGCCGTTCTTCTCTACAGGGATCTTGGAGAGTGACAGCAGACGAAGTCGTCAAACCACCTGTTCGATTCTGCTTCAGAGCAACTTTGCTGAGCTCTCTTGCATTTCGTAGCATGACGTTTTGCGATTCTTCTGGCAATAACAGGAAGGAGAGCACGTGACGAGGCAGGTCCAGACGCTGCGGCAGAGGCAGATGCGAAACCTGGTGATGGCGCTCCTACTGGCACAGGTGCGCGTTGCTCAACATTTCGTATCTGAGTCTGCCTTCGTACGGTCCTCTTGTATTTGCGCCGCACCGGCAGAGGCCGTTTGTGCACTTCCTTTTTACATAGCAGGTTCTGCTGTGCACACAAGACAGCGCGGTCGAGTTGCAATGGCGGCATCCGTCCGTCTTACCTTGTGCGCAGGTCGATTATGCAATACCATGTTTTCTTCAGGGTCATAGGCACCGGACGGATTCGTCCGCGGTCTGCCTGAGATAGCGCTTGTTAACTTTACCTGCCTCCTCAAGCGGGCAGCAAGGAGCGGTCTGATCATAGCAGAGTCCTCCGGGCTCTGTCTCCCCTTTGTTCTGTCAGCTCCCAAGTGCTCAGAAGTCCCAGCAATTGAGTCGAAAACTCTGATGACTTTCGCTGACGGCTTCGCGACTCGCTTGCAGGGAGTTCCTATGATTACAATGGGCGACGAGTACGGCCACACGAAAGGCGGCAACAACAACACGTACTGCCACGACAGTGCGGTAAGTCACCTGCAGAGAGCAGGTGTCAAAAAACGGTTTGCCAAGGCTAGCGTAATTGTTGCGCAATTGCACAGGGAGGCGAAGGTTTGGGCTCCCAGTCTGCCATCGGGTACCTCATCGGATACCTTGGAGAATACTGCGTACCTCTGTATGCTTTTGTCGGTGTCAAATGGCGAACGACGCAACCTAGTAATGGCGCTCTCCACCATAGGCAAATCTGTCCCTGTCCAACGTTGGCTAGCTGTTAATGCAGTCTCCGCTCCGGACGCAACTCTTCTATGCATGTATCGTTTACATTCTTCTTCCTGTCTCCGTTGCTGTAAGGTTTTCGAAACGAGAGATTGATTGCTAGGGGACGTGATGTGTACATGATCGACCGTCGGCCATTTGTACTAGCCGTTAGATGGCCATGTCGTCAGCTGCTTAATATCTGGTCGATGGTACCTTTAGGTGAACTACTTCCGGTGGGACAAGCTGGAGAAGGACACCACCGGATTCGTCCGCTTCTTCAAGCTCATGGTGAAGCTAAGAAGGTCAGAGCCCTGTCAAGACCTCCCTTTCACTCAAGTATCCAGAATCAGCAATTCAGCATAGTGAAATGCTGAAAGCCTAGGGCTTTATCGGGACAGGTTAACCAATCTAAACGACGACATTATAAGCGACGAAGTGTCTACGTTCCGTACAAACTTTTGATGTACCCACTAGGCCGCTAATGCTGGGTCGGAGAAAGAGGGCATCCAGCGTTACAAAGCTTCGAAGTTCGGGTACTTCAAGAACCTTGAAACCAACTCAGTGGGATCTGGATCTCAATTTTGAAGAACCCTCGGGGTGTTGGATTACCATATTGACGACCCAGTTCTAGTTTCTTGCAATTCGAGAGTGTGCTCCTCGATGAACACATACCTGGATCCAAAGTGCCCACGTTTTTAATGCCGCCCCAACGTTGTATAAAATCCTTGCGAGGTACGGTGCTTTTCAAGAAAACGATTCTTTCGAGAAACCTAAACCTCGAACGAACACCACGTCATGGGTGTAGGTCAGTTCGGGAGACGAGGTTCCGCGGCCCCCATGGAGGATGCGGTGTAATGAGCTCTCCGAAAACCAGAAACTGCACTTGTCAGTGGACTAACAGCATTCCCAACGGTTGCCAATGAGACCGCTCGACACCAAATCTTGGCCCTCACTGATGCACACGGTCCTGACGGGTGACACGTGTCGTGCAGAGACAACGCGGTTTTCCGGATGGAGGACTACCCCAGCGACTGGAACCTGGACTGGCACGGACACGGACCGGGCGCGCCGGACTGGTCCGAAACCAGCCGCTTCATTGCCTACTCGCTGGTGAGCGTTGAAGGTTTGCTCTGTTTTCATTGTGTTCGGTTGCGTTTGACGGCCTACAATGGAGCTTTCTACTACTTTTTATGGGGGTAGTAAGGTCCAAATCAGAAAGGTGCAACATCTGTGGCCTCGGTCCTTTCATGCTCCTTTTCAAAACCTCTGTTCGTTCCTGCAGCGGCGTGAGAACAAGGGCGACCTGTACGTTGCATTCAACGCGAGCCACCTGCCCGTGATGGTCACTTTGCCCGAGCACTGGAGCTGCAAGTGGGTGCCCATAGTAGACACCGCCAAGTTCGCGCCGTACGACTTCCTCGCGGACGATGTTCCGGACAGGTACGGACGCCTGTCGTACTACAGCGCAGCTGTCATCTCGTGTCCGGTTTCTTCTCTCGCGGTCTTCGTTTGCCGTGTTATTTCCTAGTCGGAATCCAATCTGCCGGGCGACGGGATGCGGTCGTGGCAAGACGGTGCTTCTGAAGAGCCGAGCCGTCGTTATTGTAGTTTGCTGCATCTTCAAATGTAGACCCACTCATTCTTGGCGTATGGTAGGCTCTGCTCGCATATGACATCAGTCTGGACATGTACATCTTCGTAGTCCTGTTTCCGACTTATGAGATCCTTGAAATTCCTAGGAAGCTGGATCCTGAAAGACGAGCTAAGGGTAACACGACTTGCCTCCTGAAGTTGTGATTCGTTCTGCTTTCACAGGAAGATTGCAACGGAACAATATGCGGGCCTTTTGCGAGCGCACACGTACCCCATGCTCGGCTACTCCGCGATCATCTTGGAAAGCGTGTTGGACAGCTACGACGAAATGCCGGCGGCTGTTCACACAACAACATCGTCAAAGGAGACCTCAGCTGCATCGAGCGTGAAGGAAGCAGCCTTGTAACTTTTTAGGGAAAAACAGTGTCACAAATCTTCAAAGCGCATGTTAGGGCAAGAGGAGTACAGCGGATGCCGGAGGAAGCGTGCAGGCGTCCATGCTTAGTGCTGTCAATTCGCCGTAGTCGAAAGACCGTCGCTTCTTTCACTTCTGGTGCATTTCTTGTGGGCTCAACTGTTCCTGGTTGCAAGCACGTTGACAGTGGGTATTGACTTCAAAGCTGGACACCCGGCTGCACAAAGATCATTGCACAACTGTAGCTCGAGGACCTCTTTTGCTGCATATAAGCAATCCAACTGGGAATTTGACTACGTATGCTTTTTGCAATCATGTATTTAAGGAATGAGGAATGGCGGGAACCGTCGCACTGATACCTTCAAAATTGGTCGATGCAGATTCTGAGAGTCATGCAATAGCAATCTGCTCGGGTATGAAGCACGTCACGATCACGGAAGCGCTTGTCCTTTCATGAGGCCTAGCTTAATGCATCGGCATGCAAAATAGTCTCCTGGCAGCTGAGACAAATCAAATGTAGAGTCGAGCTTCCTGCCCGTCCAAAGTGAGCGCTCAGCAAGGCCCCGGGTTAGGTATAGTTCATTTGCGGAATGCCGGGCCCCGCCCATACACACCGCGCGTGCGTACCGCATGGCCGTCAGGTACATACCAGGGTCCAGCCGCCCACATGAATGACAGCGCGCGCGTGCGCGTGTGTACGTTCTATTCTGCTGAGGGGTGCCCTTTCTCGGTTTCTGACCAGGAACTGAGCCTGCATGAGGAAGCTGGGCTTGAACTAGTGAACACCTCAGGAAGCGCTTTGAAGTTTGAGCCTCCACCTTACAGCTCTAGGCTTACTTTTGGAACTCATTCAGAGCTGGGTAGCTTTGATGAGAGAGTCAATGATCCCTCATCTGAAGGGGCACAGCTTCCGGAGGTACAGCGAAGAAGCGTGCTGGCTATAGCTGGAACATATATGGATGGAGGCCGTTTCTTGATGTAATGTGTCCTCTCAATAGTGGAGTGGGGTTCTGTTCGGGTGAGTTTTGCAACTTCTTTCCCTGCAAGAGGACCAGGTGGTATTATGCTGTGTGGCATCAACACTCAGTACAAAGGATCCTTCCCTTTGCAAGGATCCTGATGTGTTCTAAAGCATGCAAAGGAAATGAAAAGCAGTCTATACAAATGTGCACCCCTTTGGTGATTGCACAAAACTTTAGCTCGTTGGCATTCTGAAGGTGAGGGCAGTCTTTGTTGATTGACTATGACAAATCACCTTCGCATCCTCTCTTTCAAGGTCACTTCTTAAAACAAAGGCTTCGGGTGCACTGGCACTCTGGTGGTCAAGCCAGGGAGCTTATTCTGCACACTTTCTAACTGACTGTGGCGTTGTATTCGTTCTAGTCGCATCTCCCCTCACCACTTGGTGACTTGTCTCTCCTGAAACTCACCAGATGTACTTGCTCCTTTGCAGGACTTACCTGAATGCCTAAAGCCTATAGGACCTTAAGCTTTCCAGAGGGCCTGCCTTGAAAGGGCAATATCTGCTGTCTGAACGATTCTATTTCCTTGGTGCGATGGCGGACCCCCCACCGAGCCCCAGTTTAAGCAGTGCACGGCAGCTCCCCCAACCCCCAGGCTTGAACGCTCCCCGCCTGAACCTTGCTGGGGGTCACCAGCTTGTCAAAGTCGAATGTGCTAAGTGCAAGGCACACCTGAACGTATCAACAAGTTCACACACCTTCACCTGTCCCAACGACTTCTGCCGCCAGCTTCAAGCGCTGCCAGAGCAGTTGAGAAGACCGGCAGAAGGCGCGCAGGCTCCTTTGAGGAGCACGCAGGTATGTCATTCGTAGATCTGGGAGTGTCAGATCTCAGGGGACCAGAGGGTTTCATTCTTGACCTGTCTTGTTATTACTGGAGCCGTATGGTCTTCAAAAGAGCTTGTGCCGCAGGTCCCAGGACTGTGAATGAATAGCATTCTTTAAGAATCTTCTGAAAATAGAGTTGAAGCTGAGCCTGGCAGAGGATGATCATTTCAAAGTCGCATATCTTGATCTTATTGCTCTCAATGAATCCATGATCACTTGATTGGTCTATACAAGGTTCTCTAAAGATTCTTGACAAGAGGACTTGTCGTTTGACTCCCTTTCCCTTGCCTAAAAGAAGCAGAGATGTTCTTCTCTCACAAGCAAAAGGGGCAACTACTGATCAGAATTACTAGCTCGCTAGCTCTCTTTCTTGTAATCAGGGTGCTACACCACCCCAGATTTTTGAAGATGTGGCAACGACCCGGACTTGCCAACAAAAACGCGAACTTTGAGGCCACCTATTCTTCCAACATGAATCGAACTTCCATAAGAGACCCTTCCATAAAGTCCTTCTGAGCCTCTCTTTCCAACTCTTGCAGTTTCATTGCCCAAGCCCCACTTGCAACTCGCTTCTCAACGTCCCGATTGGCCTCCAGAACTTCCTTTGCCCCCGTTGCTTGAAGCCAATCACAGTCGGTCGAAATGGAGGGCCTTCGACGATATCCCAACCAATGCGAGGAGCCGCTGGTTTCCTTGCGCCGCCGCTAGGGCCTGGGAATCTTGCAGCCGGACGGTACCCCTTCCATATGCCTGCTCAACCACCAGAGGAGATCCACGAGGCAAGTCTGCAGGCTTTGCTGACTGGTTTTGCTCCTTTACAATCTTCATCAGGTCGTCCAAGATGTGATCAGAAGTGACAGTCGATGTACAGATGCGAGGCTAAGCCTAGCATCAGTCGATCTTTTTGCGACGTCCTGGCAATCATGTAACCTGCTGACTCCTGACGCAGCCACTTGAAAAGGTACAGTCTCGAGATCTCCCGTGAAAATTAGTTCCACTTGCTCTGTGCAGATGGTTCTGGATGTGGAGCGGGAAGAAGGAGAGGAGGCAGGGGCGGGGGACACCTTCATGGACTACGTAGGTTCCACAACCATTCTGAATAGGTATCTTGACCTGTGGAGTAGGGAGACTATACCATTTTTCAAGCTGAATCGCTTGCATCGTTTCAACTCCTTCATATTGTGACCTGACCAAATCAAATAGATTGAGTATCTCGAAGATGTTCTATCGAAGATGTCAATGCCTGCGGAGTCTCCCTGCAGTGCATCAAGACCAACATTCCAGCTGCCTGACAAGTGATTAGGCCACCCAAGGACGGTGAAGCTGGAACTCTTGAAACACGGCAGTCAACGATTTTTTGTAGGTTTCTTACCACTTATACTCGTTCTGCAAACATGTCGAGAAAACCATGTCTTTGGTCAGGAACAGAAGTCAGCGATTAGACAGAATCTTTAAAGAGGCAGCTGGAACAAACTTCGACGATAAGCCAGTACTGATTCGGTCTGATTCCGACCCCCTGCAGCGTGCCTCGAAGCTGGCATATGGTCTTCCGCATCCAGACCCCATCGTTGAGACGACCAGTCTGTCTGCTGTCCAACCTCCTGACCCCACATACGAGCCGAAAATAAGAGGCGAAGTCGAGACAAGCGGCTGCTTGTCCTCGTTACAGATGGAAAGCATTGTGTACGCCAGTCAGGTAGGCCCACTCTTATATCAAAAGGACATGAAGGGGATTCCCTGTGTAATGCTCTCCCCACGAAAGCTGTGACAAAGGACTTGCAGGGAGCTTCTGGGTGGTTTATGTGGCATCTCGACCTTTTTGAATCTGTATAAAGCTGTGTCAATTTCAATTTCGCTGCTTCTATTGAAAAGCCTGCTGTTGGCCAACAAAGAGAAAGTTGCCAGAGAATGCTTACTGCCCGACCTTTGCCTCTCAGCACTTCTTACAGGAGTATCCTGAAGGTGATGTTGACTGTTGCGACAGCAATCCAATAAGTTTGCTCGATTCAAGTTTTCACCGTGAATACAGGAGAAATAGAGGATTCTTTTCTGCATGCAGCGACATGACCAGATGCTTCCGGATGGATCTCGAGCAGGGTTTTTCCTGGGTAAGACCACTTTCTTGATCCATTCGCGTGTTTATTGCCTGGCAACCAAATGGTTGTAGTCGAGCAGAGTGACGTCTTGCGACCGACAAACTGATGCCGAAAGAGTTGTTGTGGACGAAGGGTTTCCAACATTCGTTCTTATGTTGTCAACGCCCTTCAGGTGATGGAGCGGGAGTCGGGAAAGGAAGAACAGTGGCGGGCCTTGTATGGGAGAACTGGCTGCAGGGCAGGCGGAAAGCGCTGTAAGTCGTTTGGCAATTTTACACCAGTCCTGTACTTCTGCTCTATCAAGACGCGCTAGACCGTGCTCTCATGCACCTCGTCAGCTTCTTCTTTGTCTAAGTTTGCTGGATCCGATGGAAGAGAAAGTATAACATGAAAGAGACTCATTCATACGCTACTTTTCGTTCTCGCTTTTCAAGATCAAGAACGATTTATCCAACAAAAAGGAAGGTTGTAGAAAGTTCCTGTCTGTCCTGCAGATGGCTCTCTGTTGCATCGGATCTGAAGTTCGACTCTCGAAGGGACTTGGACGACGTCGGAGCTTCAGAGGTGGAGGGTACGTGCGTTCGTGCGACTGGACTCACGGTAGTCTCAGGAGGCGTACACCTCTGGCAGTTGTTCATTCCCTCACGCACTATTCTTGTTTTACAGTTTCCCATTTATCCACCTTTGGACACAACCCCGTCAGCAACTTTTTGAAAGTGGTAGATATGGAATTGCACCCTTGATGTTTACGGTAGAAATTTGCTGTCGTTATTGTTTACTCATACAAACATCTTCGGGATAAGCACGACGATACAAATTGCAAAACCTGATCCTTGCCATCGTCAATCACTCATGTCTGTCGTTTTCCAGTGCATGCCCTCAACAAGTTGCCGTACGGCAAGCTGGACTCCAAGTCGATCGGCATACACGAGGGCGTCGTATTCCTGACCTACAGCAGTCTGATTGCCACCTCCGAGAAGGGGCGCAGCAGGCTCCAGCAGCTCGTGCAGTGGTTTAAACCGGACTTTGACGGACTCATTGTTTTCGACGAGGTAAGTAACACCAGGGCCGTCAACCAGCAACTGTTTTTGTATTTGTTGACGAAGTCGAGCGCTCTGCGGCTCAAAAAGTGCAAATCCGTCTTCGTATCCGTGTTTCTAGGAGACACCTGTTCCTTTTCTCAACATGGAAGTCTGATCAGCTGGGGCGTATTGGCCTGTACAGTCGTGTACGCTCGCCTTACTGTTCTTCGCATAGCCGGTTTTTCATGAATTCGACCATTTGTATTGTGTATCTCGGCTGGCTGCAGTGTCACAAAGCCAAGAACCTAGTGCCTGAGAGTGGAGGCAACGCGACCAGAACAGGAGAAGCCGTGCAAGAGTTGCAGGTACGCCAACGACTCGTCCGTAATTGCTGTGCTGTGCATCACTGCATCACCTGCAGCCTGAGCATGTCGTAAAATCTCCTGCGTACTCTTTCTGGGTGGATTCCGGTGCTGACTTCACACTTTCAGCTTGTGCTTAAAATCATAGTACTTTCTGGACTTTTGTAGACGAAGTTGCCGAATGCCCGGATCGTCTACTGCTCGGCAACGGGCGCTTCAGAGCCACGCAATCTCGGGTGAGCCGTTCCTGTCAGTCACACAGGATTAAGACTTTCACACCCTCCAGTTATGCTTAATGCCTTGACTGCAGCAGATCCGAAAATCATAACATTGCTTTGCTGCTTCTCCTATGTTCCCGTACCATAGAGGAAACTTTCAAGCGTTAGTGCTTGCGGCACGCGCTTCTCTTCATGTTTGAGCGTCCGCAGACCTGCGAAGGTTGATAGTCCACTGTTTCGTACCACTTTAATTCTCAGCCTGCTCGATCAGTCAGCCGGTTTGGCCTGCCACGTTGAGCAGACTCTGTTTGTTGTTGACTTTGTCATGCTATCGATATGTGCCGCCTCGAGCATACTACCTGTTAAATCCAGGTACATGGTTAGGCTCGGCCTCTGGGGCCCACGCACGGCGTTCAGCTCCTTCCCCGATTTCCTGAGTGAGTGCTCCTTACACCAAAGCTTCGTGAAATGCCTTGACCACTTGAGCCCGTAGTTCATTCGTGATTTGGGCAAGTGAAGCAGATACAATCTGGAAAGTGCTTAGAGCATTTTGACCAGTGTTTCCTTCTCTGATCCAGCAATGTTGGAAAAGCGAGGCGTGGGTGCGCTGGAGCTGGTTGCGATGGACATGAAAGCACGGTGAGGTTGTTCATAGGAACCTAGATGATTGTACGGCATCAAATATCGCAATCTGCTTTGCAGCATTCATCTTTCCTGTCTGGCTAAAGTCTAGTGTCAGGCCCGTGCAACGTGACGCAACTGCCTTTTGCCTGCTTAAGCGTTCACAGCTTACCTCAAGCCTTCGGTCGACGCAGGGGTATGTATGTCTGTCGAACTCTGAGTTTCAAGGGAGCAGACTTCGACATTGTGGAAGTACCATTGGAACCAAAAATGAAGGTGCGATCCAGCTCGTTACAAAGGGTTCGAGGCCAACGGCCTCCTAGTGATCATCAGAAACTTGGAAAATTTGCCGTGTGTTCATTCTCCATTTGAGCATTTGCTACTTCGACGCTTTCGTATTCATTGGTTCCTGCCGTTGCCTTTTTCGTTGCAAGGAGAGCTTTGTAACCCATCTTTTGCATGGTCTGAAAAGCTTCTGCGTGTCTTGCAGGAGATGTACACACACGCTGCCTCCTTCTGGGATCGGCTTCGGCTCGACCTGCTCCTCGCCATCGAGACAGTCGCTGATGGAAAACAGAAAAGCAACTCCTTGTGGCGCTACTTCTGGGCTTCTCACCAAGTGAGGGTTACGTTCGACTCAACCTCCTGACGACTCCAGGTTCTCAGAAGATGGTCATTGTCTCTCTTTGCCTTGAAGCAATTCGTCCTGATCTTCCCTTGAGGGTTAGAAAGACGCTGTTATCTGGACAAGGCCAGTTGTCCACATTTTACATGCTGTTTGCTTGAGAGGGCTTTGCCAACCAGAAAGACATCGAATGTGGCCCTTCATAACCTGAACATACGGAAACTTTCACCAACTTATGGACGATATTTGTGGCTATTGTAGCGCTTCTTCCGGCACATGTGCATGGCGGCCAAAGTTCACCGTGCTGTGTCTCTGGCGAAGGACGCGGTGGCCAGCGGCCGTTCCGTGGTCATCGGTTTGCAAAGCACGGGCGAGGCCAGGACGGAGGAGGCAGTTAGCAAATACGTGAGACTGACGGCAGGCCCCTTTTGGCTGCCATTTAACTTTTGCCGGCAACCTTCATAAACGAGGATTCTAGCAATGAAAGCAGGTAGAAAAGACGCATCTCTGCTTGGCTTGCTTGGAACATTGACATAAGACACAGCTCCTTTGTATTTTTGTTAGGCCGTAGGACGCGCTGGCAAGACTTGAGCAAAGTTTTACGGACAGTCTAAGATGGTAGGTTGTCTTCTTTTCTGGATGCCCCTACTGCTAATGCGCATCGTTTCACAGAAGACCAAGCGTAGGCAATCTGTCCTTATCATTGCAGGGCGAGGAGCTGGACGACTTCGTGTCTGGCCCCAGGGAGCTGCTGATCAAGCTAGTGGAAGACAATTACCCCATGTTCGACGAACCAAGTGATGAGATTGGTAAGACCCGCACTCGTGATGGAGCCCCATGGATTTGTCGTACTTATAGAGAGAGTAGCGTCCCAGTCAAATCATTTGCTCTAGTATGCTGCGCACTCGAACCGTTCGTTTCCAACTCCTTGGCTCGCAAACTTCTACGCTAAGGACTATCTTGGGCTGGGCCCGAAAACCCAGTCGTACTTTGAAGCTAACTTGAACAGCGTATACAATGGAAAGTCTTCCTGCTTCTATTTCCGCAGGTGAGCATGGCCTCACTCCCTACTCTGCATCATTGTGCTTATTTACTTATTGGAACTTGATCAAGTGGAAGCTCTTCCCGTACTACCTTTGGTAATGACCGCTCGCTGGCGCGTTGTTGTGCAGGTGCCGACGGCCACGTCGCCTCTCTTCAGCTGCCCGCTCGGAGCTCCCGGAGCAAAACCCGTGCTGGCGGAGCTCCGGAGGCGGGCCCCTCCGGCCGGAACGGAAAGCGTGGCAAAGCGGAGCCACAGGTCACGAGGTCGTCTCGAGGCCGGGTCCTGAAGAAGCCAAAGTATGAGGAGCCGGACAGTGACGACGAGCTGTGGATTGAAGAAGAGGAGACGTCGTCCGAAGGTGAGTGCTGCCGAATTCTCTGTGAGGAGTAACAGTTTGTCTGCCGAGGCAGGAAACGGCATGAGATCGGAAAAGCGTTAGCAAATATGAAAACGACTTTGCAATTCAGATCGCGTTTCAAAAGGTTCACTGATGGTAAGAGCTTCGTTTGAGACGCTTCCGCTCGCTTTCTCCGACCTTTGGAAGGGATGTCCATAAGACAATTGCGTGTTGAGCAAGCTCTTTTTTTCGGTCCTAATGCTCCTCGAACGTGTCTTCATTCAAAGGTAGCCTTCTCCTGGTGGGCGGTACTGACGACCACCTTCATGCCAGCGAAAAGGTTGCGTCTTTCGCATTTGATTGTGTTTGTCTTCAAGGGCGGCACAGCTTTAAATGTCTTGATCTGGCAACACTGCATGCCCAATCCTGCTCTCTTGCTGAAACATTTGCGGATATGCAGAGGAAGGCAAAGACGGGGAGGCTTCCGACCAGGAGGTGGAGCTGTTCCGGCCGTGTTATGTCTGTTTACAAGAACAGGTAAGCACGGCTTATAAAAGCAAGTTCTCCATCGACGTTGGCAATCGATAATTCTTTGAGCAGGTTCCATGGGTCCAAAAGCATCGTAGCTGAGATTTCCGTTCCTACTGCTGCTGATGCCGTTGATTGAAGGGACTTCCTTACGGGACCCTCGCTGTCGGAAACGTAAGTTAAGGAGAACTTTACTTCGACCTCACACATCTTATCGAGCGCTTCGTTCACTTAGAACCCCCTCAAATTTTGTATGTCGACAACAGAGGACCTTTTTTCTTCGATGCCTAACAGGAGGGCGACGTCCTACTTCTGAAGTGCAGCAAATGCGACAAAGCGGCGCATGCCGCCTGTCTGACGCCCCCCTTGATGCCCCCGAAAGAAGACACCCCGTGGCTGTGCCCTGCTTGCGATAAGACAGATCAGGAGGCGAGGGCACAGAGAGAGGCGTTGATCAAGGATCAGTGGGCAAAGTAAGTCACGCGTCGTACTATGTGCTTGCATGGAATCTGCTTGATTCAATCATGATTTAATCAAAGCTCGCACGGTGTCCGGCGCTAGTCCCTGCGTTCCTTCTGCATTGGGAGAGTAGGTCCAGATTCGGGTCTTGATGTCTTTAGCAAGTAAGTTTCGTAAAGGTGGTCCTTTCCAGCTCGCTGCACCAATGCGGGCTCTAAAGCCTGCAAACAGGCCCCGAAGCGCGGTACATTGGTTCATCTGTAGGACAGGGGCCATGCACGAATGCTGACTTACAGAGATCTGCTTCTGTTTTTCTGGATGCAGGTACAATAAGATGAAAGCGGCCAAAGAGCTTTGGCTGGAGATCATCAGGACGAAACTTGAGCTGCCAAACAACCCACTGGACGAAGTCATAGACCAAGTGAGAAACGTCTCTAGGACCCTGCTCACTGCTCAAGTCTGCGCTGCAGCAGTCGTCATCAAAAGCTTCTGTCGCAACAAAGACAAATGAGCTGGGCCTTGCCCAGAGCGTCTATTTCTGAGAAGCATTTTAGAAATATACGTTGCGCAAGCATGAGAAAGCTTGCAGCAACCTGGTTGTAGGGCAGACCTCACACGGCGACAGATCTTGCGAAGAATATTCCAAGGTTGCTCACTCTGGTTGTTTCTATCCAGCTTGGGGGCCCGGAGAAGGTGGCCGAGATGACGGGGCGTAAAGGTATGCTGGTGCGCAACTTGGACGGGAAGGGCGTCACGTGGCGGGCCCGGAACAGCAAGGAGGTCAGCCTGGAGATGATCAACATGGTGGAGAAGCAAAAGTTCATGGACGGGGAGAAGGTGGGCGAAAACGCGCTTTTCAGCTTGCAGCGTACTTAGGCTTTAGCACGTTCCCCTTGGAGTCTCCCTGGTGGTCATTCGCTACTCTATAGTCAGCTACCGCTTGCCAGGATCCTCGCATCAAACCGATTTTTGACGATAGGCTGGAGCATCCTTACTGAAATAGCTCGTATTTCAAGCTGCGGGTGGACTTACGCCATGCTGTGGTGTGACAGTTGGTGGCCGTCATCTCGGAAGCAGCTTCTGCGGGCATCTCGATTCAAGCCGACAGGAGGGCGCTGAACCAAGTAAGCTAAGCCGTCTTGTCGGCGCCTTTTGTTCGACTCCAATGCACTGCTTGGGATGACAGCACGTTCGCTAAGACACATAGGAGTTAACGAGTTGTGTACCGTTCATTGGCGAAGTAGCACTGGCCATTGCACACTGCGTAGTCAAACGCAGCATTCCCTGTCTTTCTCGTCTGCTGCCGTGGTTGTCTGACACGTTCCGGCAATTTCTGCAGAGACGCCGGGTCCACATCACTCTCGAGTTGCCCTGGAGGTAAGCTGTACAGACAAGCTTCCCCTTGCTGTCCGCATCAGTACCACCTTTACGAAAGAGACGGTCATAAGTTCCTGCTTCGCGAATTTAGACTTCTAGAATCCATCTATGTGCTGACTGCTGGACTTTGGATGCAGTGCGGACAAGGCCATCCAGCAGTTTGGACGCACGCATCGGTCGAACCAAGCCAGCGCTCCTGAGTACAGGTGCGTTTGGCAATGCTCTCTGGCTTGCTTCATGCTTCAAGCCGCTTTGGCAGCCCTTCTCCTTGCCATACGTCTTGACTCCTCGTCCACATGAGCTTCGGCTACCGCTGCCATCTGACTAGACTTATTCTGCACAGCTCACAAATGCCGAGTGGGAGAAGCAACTGCTAACCTCCTGTTTGCAGGCTCCTCTTTACAAATCTGGGGGGAGAGAAGCGGTTTGCGTCGATCGTTGCAAAGCGACTCGAAAGCCTAGGTGCTCTGACACAAGGGGACAGACGGTAGGGCCATCCTTTCCCTCAAACGGTTTTGGTAGAACTGCTAGTCTTCCAAGCTGTGGACTGAAGGAGCGTTATATTTATCAAGATGCCGTCTCGATATGGAAACGATGCATCGCATTAGCATCTGCGTTGCACCTTCTATTGAAGACCCCTGGTCGCCTTGGTTCATAGAAGAGTCCCGTTTCGAGCTTCCGCTGTACAAGTGGCGCCCTGTTGACTTCATCTATCTCTGAGAATGGTCCATTGCACATCGTACTTACCTGCTATTTTCCGGATCCATTCAGAGCGGGCCCCTCCTTAGGTGCATACAATTATGACAGCTACTGGGGGAAGCGAGCGCTCGCAGCTGTGTACAAGGCCATAAATGCGCAGGTATGAGACGTTTAGCATCCAAGTATTGTATTGAGCGCAGTCTTCCTACTCCCGATTTGAAGCGAAGGCATCGAGCATTCGTGTGTAGCCCCAGTTTGATTGTTGACAATGAAAGCCGTGCTGATTTTGCAGACGGGCGTTCTTTGCAGTGGCACGAAACGCTTGCCCGTTGCACAATCTTCTGTGCACAAGGCCTCTCATCACGTGCTTACACTTGTCCTTGGACTCCAACGTCTTCCTGCAGACGAAATTTCAAATGTCTGTCGACGGGGCGTGCTTGACGACGCACTAAAGTTGAAGTTCTTGTTTTTGATGTAGATTCCTTCCCCAGCCCCTCCACCCGGCTGCAAGCGCAGCTCGCCTGAGGAGGCGCGCTTTATCACCGATGCCCGGGCAGCCCTGGTGTCCTGCAACATCATACAAGGTGGGCCACCTTCAGAGGACCGTTGAGCTGTCTATCATTTTGACCGTTTGGACTTGTCTTTGTTCCTTGTGAGATCCGCAGGTGAGAATCCCTTCGACAGTTTTTCTCTTCGTATTTTTAGAATGTCCGTGACAAGACGGTTCCATGGTTCAAGTCGGTTGGAAGTGGCTAAGTCTTTTCAGGACGGCTGAGGTTGGTGAAGGCCAATAGCCCAAAATGGGGACGCTTCGTCAAGCAGAATTGAAAAGGCTCGCGTTTCGTTTGCAGACAGCACGCGTGCGGGGTCGATACGGGGCATGGCCTCCGGGCGCATTACCGAAAGCGACATGTACGACGTCGCCCGGTTCCTCAACCGCCTGCTTGGCTTAGAGCCGGGCCTGCAAAACAGGTGAGGATACTCTTGCTTTGGATACTCTTGCTTTCGAGCCAAAAAAAAAAAAAGAAAAACAAAAAAAATCAGATTGTTTAGGAGACAGACGGAGCGCCGCGGCGAAGCATATAAGCTGCCCGCTTCTTTCCCTGTTGTCTTGGCCGATGTTGTCAGAGTGGTGGAAAGGAACCTTTTTGATAGTGGCAGAGACCAGAACAAGACGCCCTGTAACTCTATTTTTGGAGCTCCACTTGCTTGCTGACGGCCACAATTCATGCAGGCCCGCCCCGCCTCCAAGATTGGTTCTTCCTGTTTTCGTTGTCGTCACCCACTTAGACGTGGCCTATGCAAACTCCTTACACCATTTGTTGGTGAAGCGTGTGTCATTTCCGCAGCTTGTTTGACTTACTCCGTCTTTGACGCCCTGGTCCTCGAAGCATAGCGTAACGGCCATTTCGGTGCTGGCTATTCGGTTTTCTCGCAGTTTCGTTGTCAGTCGGCTCGCACTTATGAGATTGTCAGGGTGTGGGGTTTACTCATAGCCGTGCATCCGCTCAACTTCTTATTGAAGCGAGTGTCCTCCCCGCAGCTTATTCGACTTTTTCGTGGCCAACTTCGACGCCCTGGTTCTCGAGGCGCGGCGCACCGGTCACTTCGACACGGGCATCGTCGAGATGCGGGGAGCCCGGGTGGCTCTCGACGGAGAACCGGAGGAAGTGTTCCGGGAAGCGTCCGGGTCGGCCGCCACGCTGCACTGCGTGGTCAAGGTGGACCGGGGGTTGCCGTTTGAGGTGAGCGTCTGGTTTGCATTGTAACGGGCTTTGTCGCCCTTGACCGAAGCTGGCCTGTCTTTCCCGTCATCTGGTGCGCTTTCAGGATTTCAGCAGCGATCAGGACTTCAAAAGACGCTTTCTCTTTCTTTTTTGACAACTTAGTATATCCGTTGGATGCAGTCAGTGTACTAAAGCTGCAACTTAAGGAACGGTGACAAGAGGCCTGGTCAGCATGGCTGGCCTTGGGCCCACAGTGCAGCCAGACTGACGTCAGGTATCGTCGACGTGAGTCAATAGACTCCAGCGCAGGACATCCTTAATTTGGCAAACGGGTTGCTGCTCAGGGCGTTCAGAGAACGGCTCCACTTAAGGGGAGGCCATCTGAAAAACACTTGTTAAAGAGGGGGGCATGACGATGCAATCGATTGTTGTTGTCTGCTGATTGCAGGACGCAAGCGCGGCCTTGGAAGCGGCTCCAGCTGAGGACCCAGGCAACGGGTTCTACATCTCGCGACGGGAGTGGCTTGGGAGGAAACACTCACTGCTGGCTGTGCGAAGGTGAGAAGTCTGTCACCCTGTTACATCGACTCAATTCAACGTTGCGTCTTCTGACGATTGTCTAGGCAACATTCCGGAAAAAGTGACGAGCCAACAAATTAGCAGGTCTAGCTGGTGACACGACCGTTTATTTTTAGCGACTCTTTGGGGCCGTCAGTATACAGAAGTCCATGTAGACTTTCGTGACAAGCAGAAGCAGTCGCAGTTAAGGGAAAGCCGATGGAATCTTCCGTGCCTTGAATGCTGCACGCTTCGATGAACGAGACGAAACCTCTAGCTGCAGATCTGAGCGTTCGCTTTGTTGGATGCAGCTTTGACTCCTCGGCGCCCCTGTTCACCATCTATCGTCCGGCAAGTGGGCGTGCGGGAAGGTACGTCCCTAATTCCATCAACGCTCTCACCCTTCACCCCCTGAGGTCAGGAGTCTGTCGGAAGGATTACAGTCTGATGCAAAAAGTGCTAAAAATCAAGCGTTGATTCTGCTTGGAGTAAATGGTATCTTATGTAAATAAAGAAGTGCGCAAGCTGAAAAGAAAGTTCCTTGAACGGAATTCGCGAGCCACACACAGATCCGCCCGCTTCTTTCTTGTGTACGTTGCGTGTGTTTTTGGATACTTTTCTGCGTGACGTACTTACTCGTGTTTCTCGCTCCTGATCAACCTCGAGCAGCCGACCGAGCACGGCTCGTTTGAAAAGCAGACTGCTTCGTGTCAACGATCTGTCAAAGGGCAGGATGTAATTTTGATACCAGAAGCTGATAGCTGAATTCCGTTTCCGAGCAGAGAGATGCCGCAGGCGGAGCTGCGGCTCAAGTACGAACAAGTGGCGAGCGAGGACGCAGCGAAAGCGGCTTGGACCATGGACTTCGACGCTTCGGCCAGCCAGGTGCGCCGGAAAAAAGACCGCCAAAACATCGTCTTTAGCTACCTTGGACATGGTTGAGTGGGTGAAGCTCCGGATACGCGAACAGACTTGTCTTGTCGGTGTGTTTTCAGATGAGCGAGAAACAGCTACTTTGATTATTCAATCTCAGGAAGCTGTATTCTTCCGCACCTGATAGAGGAGGCCTTCGTTTGCCAAGCTGCTGAGCAGTTGCAGGGGGGGCCGGTCGCTAGTGAGGACATAGGATTCCAAAGTATCTGAGTTTGACTATGTAAGTCTTATTCATATCTTCTTTTTTATCATTTGCGCTGAACAAAAAAGTACATGAAGATAATTTTATTACCTATTTTTGACCACTTTTGCAGATAATGTATGTACCTCTTGCCCAGTCTCCGAGATGCATTCTTACCATCTTTCTAAGCAACACTCGGTCAGAGGTTGATCCCGCGCACCGTTCCTGAAGGTCGTTTCATCCCCTGTGCAGTGCATGCACGGCCCCAAGTGCAAGTGGCAGTCCGCGTGCTCGGTCGGCCGGCGCGTCAACGAGCTCCACATCTTGAACGGACTAATCCTGCCGGTGTGGGGCATCGTGGAAAAGGCCCTCTCCAAACAGGTCCGTTGCTGTGCTCCTTGATCAAGTCGTCGTTCCGGCTTACGTGTTCCATGTCTCTGCAGTTTATGTCGCCCTGATGCATTGATCTGCCATGCGAGTCACTTTCCCGCATCACTAGATCAAGGCTGCGGGTTGTAACCTTGTTCGCGACGATTGGCGACGGGTTTGCACCTTTCCATAAAGGCGAATCTGCTATTGATCAGCTGTTATCAACCAAAGGCACGTTCTTCTGACACCTCGTTTATTGCTCTCCGCACTTACATCGTGTTTTCATGGGTACTCGAACGAGCTCGGTCCGCTTGACGACCCTCGCGTCGGTCCCTTCCGTGAGTCTTGGAATGGCGCCGCAGGCTTTGGTAACGGGTGCTTAATGACTGCGCCTAATGATTGCGCTTTTGATTTGCAGGAACGAATCGGCGACCGGCGCTTGCGGGTGGTGCGGCTGGAGATGACCGACGATGGGCGCCGCGTGGTGGGGGTGCACGTGCCGACTCCGGCCATCGCAAGCGTGCTAGAAGGTGAGCCTTCCTAACAATTTAAGTACATGGAGCAATCGAAGCAATCGTGGAAAACGTCTACTCAAGAATGAACGCGGCCATGTCGAGTGTGCTACCAAGGTAAATTGTGGCAATAGCCGAAGCCTTTCATGGCTGTAATCTGGAGCAGAATCAGAAGGGGTACCACAGTGGCCAGCCCGAGGGTTTTGGAGAGCAAGCAACTGACTCGAATCAGCCAAGTAGAAGTGCCAGGATACAGGGAATGACAACGACGGTCCGGTCACCTCTCTTTGTGCTTTCTGCCGACAGAATACCCCAGTGGGTTCACATACTTTCCGCTCAATGATCGGTTTGACCCTCTTGGAAGAAAGCGGGGTTTTGCTGACGCGTTTTCATTCCTTTGCAGGTCTCAAGCGACCAGTAGCTCAATTAGACAAAGTGTAATCTTGTTAAGCTCGCAAACGAGGGTACCTTGTTCGCATAACGTGCTGACGTGCGTCGTCTAGCAGAAATTCAGGTTAGCCAAAGCTGCCAACGCAATAGAGTGCGCTTCAGTCGGTATTGTCCACCAGTGCTTGGTGGATGTACATTGATCGGACACGCCGCGCGACTGCCGTTTGTAGATCTCAAAACCGGTTTAGCAATGGGCTACCGTGCTTGTGGCTCGCTTCACCCGAGCCCCCGACTGTCACCACCACAGTCTCACTTGCATAAGAAACGAACTTATGACATAGCTGTGGTCGGGACGGTTCAATGGGCTCGATTGAACCGTCCGACATGCAGGACAATTAGCGAATACCGGGCCACATTTAATGCATTTTGACAAGATTCGTCTGGTCGCGCGCGCGTGTGCATGATCACGATCAAGCGCGCCTAGCGATTCACTCACTGTCAACGTTTGCCAGCCAGGCTGCTGCCAAAACTGTCGGAGACGATATATGCTGGGCCCGTCTCTACAGACTCATCATCATGATGAAAAGCGTATGCTGCATGAGATTTTGACCGGCACGTGCAGCCAGGCTAGACGTACGTATCGATTTGGTGGAGTGACACATGCAGGCTCGGAGCTTATCTCCAGCCGGCGGCCGGCCTGACTAGTGTCATGCACTGAGGCATAGTCATGAGGTCAACAGGGCCCGCTTAGATGATAACATGTCCGATACCGATCGTCAATTTGCGCCAAGCTCTGCGCAAGATAAATCAACTGTTACAGGTTGAAACTGCTTTTAAATCGGACACGTTCAACATTCACGAATTCACGAACTGCGGTGGTCACCCCGAGTCGATCGGATCAGCAATTAGGGCGATCTGACACAATTGATTGCTCTATAGCTTGATCATTTTCTTGTCCAACACTCAACGACCCTTGCTGATCTGCAGGCCTATTTATGCTAGCCGCTGGCCGCCACCCTTAAAAATACGTCCGTTTCGCGTGCCTTCAAGTTTGCACGCCGCCGTGCGCATAGCCGATATTGCAGAGAGAACCGTCAATTGTTCAGCTTCAACTATCGAAGTAAGCGTGGGTTAGATAAGTGTGAAACTCTGCATGGACCAAAACCCCGTTCTACGATCCTTTCTCGTGCTACCTAAACTCCCCGGAGTGAAAGTTGACAACTTTCGTTGTCACGGGACGACGGTCCGATTGGTGAAAGGGAACCAAGAGCAAAGCGATGCTGCGTATCAAACTAGCATAGCGGTCTCTACCTAGAGAACTGAGGACGTCTGGTTGCCAGATCTGGCATGACTAAAGTAGGACGATATAAATATGGACTGGAAAGTGGTTGGAATTGGTACAGGGTATCTACATCTCTGAAACCGAGTCGTCGCACTGGCAGTGCTTCCTTGGGTTAGCGTAAACCGAGTCGGGTCTCTGCGGGTTACTGTACACCGGCCCCTCGGGGCCGAATTTCGACATGGACGTCTTGCGGAGCGCTTTCACCTGCGGGAAAAGATGCCAGCTGTCAGATCCCAACTTACACAAGGCGGCCCTGCAACTTTTATGAGTATCATCCGGAAGAATCTGGATTCAAGAAGGTTCTTGGCGTCGCATTTCGCCGACCTTTGAAAGTTGAGTGTATCGCAACGTCCCTCTCTCCAGCAAATCAGTTGGAAAGAATCTGTTTGTCTGGATGGACCGAAAGATACCTAATTCCGGACCGTTATTGAATTCATTATGGGACGGGTCAGGCTTCTGCTTCTTCTCAGTACCCTGTTCAAAGAGTTGTGGTTTTAGCAAATCGGAGTCCCTTCTATCATTACCTCAACGCCACCAAACCCTGCACCAGTTGACGTAACGTCGTCTCACCTGCGCCGCGAACTCGTCCTCGCTGAGGTCAGTGTCGTCGAGCAGACGGGTGAGCTCCTTGCGGTCCTCGGGGACCAGCACCTGCCCGGGGCGCCGAGTGTAAACGCGCTCCCCGACCACTAGGTCCGCCATGTTGCTCGGGAAGGGGGCCACGAAGACGTCGCTGCGAACGGACAAAGGGACGTCAGCGGTTGGGTTTAGCAATTAGGGACAGAAGTTGGTGGGATTGGCGGCTTGAGCACCAAGTCATCTACGGGGGTTAGGATGGATTCTACCGGAAGTCGGTGAGGAAAAGAGGGCGGCCGGTGATTGGCCGGGCAGCATAAGTTCTCTGGCTGATGAATGCTGCTCTTTGAACGACCTTGATTGAGAAGTCCGTGCGCATCTTGGTAAGAACAAGATGCCCATGACTTTGCGTGATGGAAGTTATTTGGCCCAGATCAGAACGTTTTGATGTACGAGCTTCTGCCTGCAATTGATTCCGTTTCCAAACAAGAGGTCGACTTGTGCAGTTGAGCTGGCGAGTTTTCACCGATTGCCTTTCATTTTAAGTTTCATACTCCGCGCTCACCTGTGCGCGGCAACGTAGAAGTCGAGCGCTGCCATTTGGAACGCGTGCCCGCCGAACACCTCCATCTCCTCGCGGCTCATGAGGTCGTTCTCTTTCCGCCGCAGATTGGGGAAGATCGTCCGCAGCTTGGCTAGCGACTCCTCTTCGTTGTGGATCTTGCCGGACGCTAGGTAGATCTGCGCGTGCGACGAGTAGCCGAGGCCGCGCAGCCACCGCCCGATTTCCTGCGGGGTTTAGGATGGACGGTTTAGTTCTGAGCCAGAAGTGACTTTCTGGGTGCTTAAACTTTGGGGCTCTTAAACTGAGTGAGGAACAAGCATTTGTGATGGTTCGAGATCGGCAATAAATGCGAGGCTTTGTCGTCTGGAGTTAAAAGACCAGTGGAGACGGTCGAAATTGCGATCTTTGGCGACAGCGATTCCCCCGTTTCGGCCCGGCCGGGTCAGGTTTGGTGTACACTGTACGGCCCCACCCCGGCCCCCGGGGCCCGATGTGCACACGCAAATGCGGCCTCACATTAGCAGCTGAGAAGAAACCGGTCCGTTTGATACATGACACGGGCAGGGAGTTGAGCAAAGTGTGTCACTTGACCGCTTCACTCCTTCGATCGCTAAACTGCAAAGATCAGAACTCTTGTCCGCAGCTAATATCTAAATCTCGATATCGCGGCTTTGTGGTAACTCGTGACCAGTGCAAACGACTTGAGAGGCCTCGACTCGAAGAAGCTCCGCACGAATCGATTGAGAGTCTTAGAGGTTTAAAGATACTAGATTGAAAAAGCCTCCAGGCACTTCCGAACGCAGGACAGAGCGCAGCCGTTCGAACTACACATTTCGGCAAAGCTACAAAAAGAGAGTGTTAAATGAGAAACACAAAGAATAGGCGGTGTAACCGGCTTCTTTCCTCACCTCCGGGGTTAGCGGGCACTGCCCTTCGCTTCGCTTCTCCTCCGGTGATCCCAGCTCCTCCCGGTACGACCACCCGAGCATCTTGCGCATGTCTGCGCGAGGACACGTGGCAAGATGTCAGTCGCGTGTCTGTACACTTCCGTCTCCGTCTCGGGCCCTCTCGCTGCGCAACTTGACAGGTCGGTTTCAAGGACCTTTTTTCCCCCGCATGTTCAACGAAAGAATGGGTACTCTTTTCTGACGGTATGTGCGCGCGCAACGTCCTTTGCTGGCCCTTTTTGGCGGCGAAGGTGACGATAAAAAGGCCATCAGAAATAAATCTCGTTTTCACTAAACAACACACCTTACTCTTACATCGATGCTGTTCGTGTGACTTTAACGCCTTCCAAACGATAGAATCCTGGGTTGCATCTGTACCGGTGTAGAAAACGCTCATCTTCACTCCTACTGACGTCACGACCACCCGCAGCTCACCCTTGAACTTCTGCTGCTCCTTCCTGCTGACGTCATACCGGCAGCCGGACCACGCCAGGATGTCGTCCTCGAAGCGCAGGTGGATCGTCACGAACGGTCCGTACAACGTCAGCCGTTGCACGATGCGCCGCCCGATCTCTTCGAGCGCGGGCGCCAATCGAAGGGCTTCGAAGTTGGCCTTGCAACGTACCCACTGCGTAACGGGTGGGACGTCCGTGTGGGACAACCTGGCGGAGGAAAAAATGGGATTTGAGTTAGTCGCGCTGTCTGAGGACACGCTTTTGACCCCACATTTTTCTGTGTGGGGCAACTTTGGGGGGGGGGGAGAGGGGGCTGGATTGATTTAGGCGCGGCCTTGTTTGGACCCACTACGTAAACGAGCGAAAGAATCTCGCCCAGCAAGGATCAAGAAAGGGCTTTCTTTTGGGCAGTCTCGCAACCAAGTTCGACCCATCTCCTCGCAAACCATCCATTTAGAACTGGGTCCTCACCTGTCGGTGAAAGGCCTGAGCGTGACGACCTGTTCTCTTTTTAGCACCGGCAGCACTTCTTTCAGGTAGTACTCGGCGCTCGCGTCAGCGGGCGGGTCGATCTTGGTCGCCTTGATGTACTGGAGCGGCATCGGCAGCTGGAACGCGACGCGGACGGTGTCCGAAAGAACGTCCGTGAAGTGTTCGACGTCGAAGATTTCGGCGAACGAGCTGTGGCGGAAAAGGAAGGGGCGTGTTGAAGAAAGCTGGTTGCTTTTCGGCGCGATCAGTTGAGCTGTGCTTTTATAACATCTAGCCTGATTTGCTTGAAAAGAGGACGCTAGAACGGTGTCCGAGAATTGAGGACGTCCGTAAAGTGTTCGACGTCGAGGTATTTGGCAAACGAGCTGCATCGGGGAGAAAAGCGGCACTGATCACGGGAAGAAGGTCTCACCTGTTGTCTTGCCAAAAGGCGTTCTCCCTTAACGACGGGAGCACTAGCGTCGCGTTCAGCATCCACGCAACGGCGACAGCGTTTGCGATAGACGCCCTCTGCTGGTTAAGGCCCCCGTTTAGCTGAACCATGAGATAACCGTTGCTCTCCGGAAGGACTGCAAGAGAATCAAACATTATAAGGCTTAGTGGGGCTGTCTGCTTTTGTGGGCAGCTTTCGGAGAGAATGGAACGCTCGAAATCCGCCTATTCTAAAGTATGCTGTCCTGCAGTCTCGCAGATATGAAGTCCTTCGATTGGGTTTGTTGTGATCATTGGCTTTTCGAAGGGAATGGTCCGCAGCTTAGTCGACGGCGCAACGATGATTTGCATTCAAAATTCAGTACTCGAGAAGGCGTCACGCATCAAAGACAGTCCAGCTGGTTAGTGATTAGGAAACGAAAGCTAGAGCCGTCTTTCCATACAACATCTGAAAAGGCGTCAAAGCTGGGATTACAAGTTTGGAGTAACAAAGTTCGTGAAGCGCTTTGAGACTGCGGAGAGAAGATGTCTAACCTGGGTCGACGATGAGTCTCTTCCCATCTTTGCAAGTCGAGTTGAGGGGAGTCAACGAGTCCAGCCCGTTTGTCGTCCCCTTGCCACCATCTATCAGAATCTTCCGAAGCGCTTTGTTTTTGCTGCCCGCCAGCTGTTTGAGTCTTTCTGGCACGGGGTCTTGTGCCGGTATGAGCAATTTGTCAGCTAGGTATCGCCTTGCCTGCAAAGGAAGGAAAACATGAGAAACTACGCTCTCGTTGGTACTGCTGTTTGTGCAATCTGCTCATGTTTCGCGGTTTGAAACATAGCCTCTGACATTAGCTTGCCTATTCAACTTGAACTCACAAGCAAGCAAGGTCAAGGTCGTGACTCAGAGTAGGTGCTTGACACTGAATAACTTGAAGGCGCCTCAGATCGAATGTCAAAGACATAGAAACCATTGCATTCAAATGTTCAAGCCCTGTGACACTTACCTGCGCTGAGCTTGCTGTTTCCTACATTCAAACGCAGAGCCGAAAGGTCAAGCTTAGCAGCTTTAAGACTAGCTTTACTGCTTAGAAGGTGTGTAAGACTTACATGCAATGACTTTTTCCTCAGGACTGGTTTTGGCAGCTCCGGTCCCCTCCTCAAACCCCCTCCCGCTTGCAACCTCCTTCCACCCACACTCCACTCCCCCTCAACGCTCTCTTTCGTTCCATACAAACTAACCCCAACAACCCCCACCAGAAGCAACAGCAAGAACGCGGTCTTAACCCCCGCCCCAACCTTATACCCGCTCCCCCCGCTACCCATCGAGTCCTGCACGTGGTTGGCCGCACTCCGGAGGTGGTTAGCGGTGGTTAGCAGCACGTTGCCCAGCTTCTTCTCGGGGGAGAAGACCGTGTTCTCCCACGTGTGGGTCCATTGCCGCGACGACTTCTCCGCGAGGCTCGACCAAACTGCGCGCTGGAGCGAGCCCGACGCGCGCGCTTCGTCCACGTGTTTGTCGGAGAAGCCGTGGATACGCCGGCGCGTCGGAGTGTTGGAAGCGGAACTGGGGCCGTTGTCCAAGACGGCCGAGTCCATTGGGTCTGCTTTCAGGGGCGGTCTTCTAATGATGGCTCTCCAAAGGCGTGATAGGATGAATCCTACAAGAGAACCCATGGTGAATCCGGTCAGCTTTGTGACTGCTTTTCTGGGGTTTGCCCCTTCTGCTGACTTTCCAGATTCACGCTCTTAGTCTGGGGTGCAGTTGGAACAGGAGCTTGCAGAAAATATCATTTAGCTGACGGGAATCGACCTTGTTTTGAGCTCCGCAAGCTCAAGCTTATACTTTACTGGCAGCTTCAATTCTAGGCAAAGTAGAGTGGTAGTCAGTATAGACTTCCAGAACCTTTCAGTTGCATAAACTTGTGCACTGAAACGGCAAGCAAAACACCTCGACTTGCGGTGGATCATAAGTTGGGCAACTCATTGTAGATTGATCAGCCAGACCCAATGTGCCGCCAAGCAATATTGTCAGGTCCAGCTAGAATGGAGCGGGTATGACGAAATTGAGCGGGTAATCAGGTTCCACAAGCGAACTTTGTCAGCTCGGACAAAGGACACAAACACAGCGAGCTACAAACAAGGTAGCTGCAGATCTGATAGAACAGATTGTAGTTGAAGCGGGCAGAGCTCGCATTGAGATGATCTGAAGTCGTGTTGCTAGCTCAAAGACGCAAGTGAAAGAATCGTGCGGCGAAAGCAGCAGAATGAGCTCACCTTGGTACAAGATCATGCAGGCGTGCTGCGAGGGTTGCGCGTGCCTCGCGCTTGCAGCTAGATGAACCGTCCAAGACAGACAGACGCACTCAATGCTCCTTGCAGAAGCTCCCTTCTCATGGGATAAGCTGGAAATGCAGCTACGTTTCAAGCTCTGTAGGGAGTTGAGGTGTCGCTTCCATGAATGTGCGAAATTGAGGTGCCAAGAAACAGTAAGTCTGTCGAGGTTGTCAACCAGATTGCACAAATGGAAAGTACGGTCTAATCAGCTGATCTGTACGAGGTAGGTATAGAACTCGGATCCAAGCTAACGAAGGCAGTGGGTAGGTATTCGTGGTCAACCGTGAGCTCATGCACCAGACTGTCGAGCTCAAGAAGAAACTGAAAGACCTACCAAGGATCTGGTGATCAAGATTGCACTCAACAGTGTAGGTGGGTTTGTCTTTTGTCACCCCAGAAGACCAACATTAGGTTGCAGACTGAGTAGGATTAGCTTTGACTCTGAGCCAGCGAACTCTGGATAGAATCAGCAGGTACGTAGCACTGTCTGGCAAACTCTGGCGGCATATTTGAATGTGTTGACGGCTGGCTTAAGGGCGGAAGCTCAAGGCTTGCTGGCAGCTATCAGAGGTTGAGATGTACCTCTCCAACAATCTCAGATGCTCTGGCTGTTGCTAAAATCAGGTGAAGTAGCCGTTGAAGAGGTTTTGAGTGAGCTCGACACGAAGCACAGCTACAGCTACTACTGTAGTTACCTAGTCGCTACAGTACCGGTTGTTTACTTCAGGAACCTAGGATACAAGAAGCTAGGCTCCTGTATTGCACTCGTATAGGTACCCTCTATTACCTACTCATGTACTGTACTCGTGTAGCATACAACTTGAAACAAGGTTGCTGTTGGCACCAAGCTTGGCCAATGTTCACCTGCTTCAAGATGTTCTCCGCGCGCGTCGAGTGGTTGGTTTTGTACATCGATCCAATCGACGGCTGTGGTTGGTGCCTATACTTATACCACAGCCGTCGAATGGATCGATGTACAAACGCAACCCGGCGAAAACGACTGGTACGGCAACATCATCATGGCATGCGATCCGACGCGATATTGTGACTGACTTGACCGTGACGTCAAACTAGGTACCATAATTGGACACGTCGTCAGCACAAAACGTCACGAATCACGATCCTGTCGTCATTCCTAGTGGTAGATTGCCCATGACGGACCGGGGGCTCGACCGGCAGTACGGTCGTTCAGAAGGATTTATCACCGACTTCGATTTGGGTGTTGGCTAGTCTCAACCGACTAGAGAAAGGCTGACCTCTCCACTCAAATGGAAGCCGGTATATAGTCCTGGTACTATGTGGAAGGAAAATTTCCTCGGGGCCTAAATGACGACCGTTGAACAATACCCGGTCCATCAATAATGGCCCCCAGTTGCGCGAAGTAATGGCTCTAGAGTCTACTGCTTCATAGACTCATAGTCTACTGCTCGAAGGCTGAGCGCGCGTCACTGGAACTCAAGTTCGGCCCCGGTGTCTAGCAGTCCAACTTTCCTGTGACTCTTGGCATTGCAACGAAGGACGTTGTTCAGGATTCAGCATCTTTCACTTTCAGAGGTCTAACGGGCACCAGCATACACAGGTGACAGAAGTCGGAAGGTGGTACGTCCCAAAGCCGCAGCTCTTACAAGCGCCCCCCGACGTTGGATCACGTCAGCGTGTCTGCCACCATGGTTGCTCATCCGAACATGCATCTGCTCGATGTGGAGGCGGACTTCCTCGGGAGCGACTTTTGGGTGCGCAAGGTAAGGTGCTCTGGTTCTTGATCTATCCTTCTCTTATCATACACCGTCAATGGCCCCCGCAGCTTGCAGATGGAATTTGCATGTTAGCGGACGCCTCAGAAGGGGCAGATGTAAATGCATCAGATAACCAGGGTGAATGCTTAGTGAGCAATAACGCTGTTTGTAGAGGGATCTTTGGAGTCCAAGAGATGGGTGCCAAGCATTTGGCAAGTGTTTAGCGCTAGCAGACGGATTGAAAAGGAGAGCAACACACCGTTCAGGTTCTGACCACTACGGCGCTGCCGTGCAGACCCTCTTTCCGCTAAAGTTGTAGGCCAGCTGTAGTAACTTTGCAACAAAGGGCAGAGATAAGATCAGCGGGCATCATCTTGTCATTTTGAAAGTGGCCCTTGAAAGTGTTGCTCACTCTCCGGTGCCGCTTACACTATAATGCTGCAGGCATTCAGACCTTTTACATCTGCAGAGATGGAATGCCGAGGGCTCACTTTTCTTCGGGTTGCTTCTCTGCCCATGCTGCCCTCATTGCAAATTAGTCACTTAGCGCTTCTATATCCTTGAATGTGCGCCGCTTTCTCAAGAGTCAAGTGGCAACTTTGATCACTTTAAGGGAATTTGGAAAATGATGAAGCCAAACCTATGAAGAGTGCAGCGCTTTGAAAGATGCTTTGACGGTTCACAAGGGGGCCTTCCTTCAGGGAATGTTCGGATTGGCACCTCCAACTTAACCAGCAGCTGTGACTCTTGCTCATGTCATAAATAGCTCCCTTTTAGAAGTTTTAAGCATCTATTCCATCAGTCTTGCGTACATGGTTACAGCTTACATTCTAGTAGACCCATGCATTGTGCAATATCCTGGCGGCAAGTGGATAACGTGACTTGCGGATTTGGGCGCATCTTATTGAGGGGCAAATATGTCTTGTGCTGGTATTTTCAAGGTATTTTCTTATTGTTCGCCTTTGCTCAGTCTTTTCCTGCAGCTTCTTCCCACCTCCTCTCCACAAGGTCCTGAACGAAATCTCTAGAGCGATAGAAACAGCTGAATAATATTTCAGAGATTATCTTTGAGCTCAGGCTATCCCAAGGAATCTCAGACCATTCTATGGTGTGGGCGCAGATGAAGCACTTTGCCCGCCAGCTGGACGCAGACGGCAACGGTGTCGTCAACGCAAAGGACTACGACCTCATTGCACAGGGCTTCATTGACCGAGGCAACCTGACCGGCAAAAAGTGAGTGCATTCTCAAATTTCAGAGCTGCTTTACATCAATGACCGCCTGCAGTCTGCTTGCAAGCAACCCCGCGTGACGAACACAACACACAGGCAGACACTGCGCGAGGAGTCTTTACGAGGCTGGTGCGAGTAGGAACTACCCAGATTGCACATCTAGTATATTGCCAGCCCACTTGAATGTTGAGTTCAATCCCTGTACGTAGCTGCCTTGTTTTGATTTTCTGTGGAATTCAGCAGGTCGGAGGGCTAGTCTTCAACATTTTGTTTCCTTGAATCGGGGTAGAACTAGAAGTACATAATATGGTTGACAAGATCCTCAAGCTCTTCATTGATCTGGTTCTGAATAGGGTCTTTCGTGCTCAATAGAAGGGCAACCTGATATGGAGTACGTCAAGGGTGTTCGGAGGTTCGCATCAAGAGTCGCAAAAACGCTATTTGAGAATGAAAGAGACGTAGGCTACCGTACAAGCTTCGATGTCGAGGAAGTGGTTTGTCGCAGCCCGGTAGAACCAGCTGATTCCACTTCGGGCTACTCCTAGGTGTAGCGGAGTGCGGAGCGCCACATGAGAGAGACAGGTGGTTTTGCATCGCGATAGCCCCCGGTTTTGAGCACCACTGGACCTCGCTCGCTTACGAGCGCTTCGTTTGGGCTCACGAGTTGGGCTCACGAGTTGGGCTCAGGCCTTTTGTTCGCTTTAATGCCTTGTTCGCGGTCAAGGAAGGCAATCCTCACAAAAGCTCCTCCTTCCACAGCATGGCCGCTGGCGGCAGGGGGGAGGATCGGGATGGAGGTCCCCACTTTTTGGGTGAGGGTATCGAGAAGCGGCAAGGAACCAGAACTGCTTGCGAGGTGGGGATTTGCAGCAAAGCCTGCCATTTGGCGGTCCATTTCACCGAATGCCGTCATGTTCTGATTTTTTATGGTCACAAATTGATGCGACGCGGAGAATCGGACGAGTCAGCACAGCCATGACGACACCGTCGGCCGAATGTAGGTACCCGTCGGACCTCAAGTAATTTATCTATTGATACCCCTATTTATTCGGGTGACGTCACTGCGCTGACGTCGACTGAACTCCGCGAAAACTCGCAGCCCGAATGTGAACATTCGCGGAGTTTCGGCGACCCGAAACTCCCGCGAAATGTTCAATTCCAAACTCTGCTAATGTCTAGGGTCTTTTAGGATTCCGTTCGCCATATCTGGCACGAATAAAGTCGATCTCGCGCGCCGAAAACAGACTCAGCCAGGCTAGCTTGCGACATCGTGATGTCGACATCAAGCCTCCCTGCACAGGCTGCAGGCTACACCTGGTACTCGCAGACTCAGTAGGTACTTTTCTCTCAGCTCGAGTCTCAGGAGTCAAAACTCTCGATCCTGAGTCCGGCTGGCAGCTTTGGGAGCAGGACGGTCCCGGGCGGTATCGTCTCCTAAGAACACCGCGTTCGCTGGCGGACGAACGCCCTGACACTGACGGGCAACCAAAGGTTTCGGGCGATACGGCTTTGCACCCCGTGCAGAAGCTTGGTATTCTTGGTATTGTGGAAGCAGATTGAAGGCCTGGTTGCGCTTCTTCTGGAAGATCTGAGCTTCAATTGATGCGAGTTGCAGCAGGTCGTTTCCATGTTTGGAGTACACCCGGCGCCGGGGCAGGCGGGACACGGCGTCAATATACTGGGGTTTCAATCATCTGCGTCGCTGCGACGTCGTATGGTTCCACCTGAGAGCTTTTCTGCAACCTGTCACTGTTGAAGAGGTGAGCTGTCATGCCGCTGCGATTCCCAAATCTTGCCCTCAAGGGACTCGGCAATGAACTGATTCCTTGACAGTTACTGATCAAGGTTTTGAGCGGTACTTGCCACTGGAGGGATTGTCAAGACAGTCCTAATTTTATTGTGAGAACATTGTCTTCTTTGGTTGAGCTTGGGCTCTTCTTGGTCCAACAAGCACTGATGCAGTGTGGTGTCTGACCTCTCGGAAATTGTTGGGAGCAAGTGATGATAGATTTGATACTACCTATAGCAGAGTTGAAAGCTGGCCGTAGTGATCAGGAAGAAGAGGAGGACCTAGGGCCTTGAAGGCCGTACGGGTTTTCTTTCTGGAAAGGAGACGCCTGTGTTTGTTTTCGACTTCTGCAAATTACAGTGATGATTTTTGTTATTTTCAAGGGCCTCATGTCCAGAGATTGTACGGCTTGTCAAGCTCTGAAGCTCGTGATTACTCCTATCTAGGACACGTGTCCAAGCCTGGAAACAAGGTCATAAAGATAGGATTCTGATGATGCATAGAAAAGCTCGCTCTTTTCTGTTCTCATGTGAGCCCCGAGGATGTTGCGTAGCTCTGAAAGGCCTGTGAGGATCAGCAAGTTAAAAGAGTATCCTAAGATCACAAGACTTGCGTAACTGCAAACATGACAAGGTCCTCCCATGTTCTGATAGCCTATGTTCCCTGATAATGCCTGATCACCTATCCAAGTCTTGTGCCGGTACGCTTCCAAACAGCCAAAGCTTGCAATTCTACTCTTACCACCACTTCTTGCTGAGCCTCCCATGACAAGGAGCAGACTCCCGCTTTTCATTGGGCAAGGTTCTCTTCCACTAGGTGCATGTGCTTGGTCCCACAGGTAATGGAGCCCGAACACCACCATTCCAACAAGAAACGTGAAGTTGCTGCAGCCTTCTGTATGCACCTCACAGCAGGACCAAACCCCACTTTTCCTGGAGAAGCTCGCAGTGTTTGAGCTTATTTGATGCGCACGTACATCCATTAAGGATCTAATCAGGTCTCTCTCTCTCACAGCAGTACTAAACGGGCAGTTTACTCTGAGTCCTGAGTACATCTAGTTTTCTGGAGGAACGGCGGTAACTCAAGGTGGGCTTTCACAACCCCATGTATTAGTGACTTATGACTGAGAATCTTTATGCTTTCGCCATGTCCCTGGCCCAACATGTGCAGTAGCATTCACAAACAACATTGTTTCCAATTCCTTCTCAGGATGTTGTCCTTCAGTGAATCCACTATTGGGAGATGTAATCTTCTGCGCAGTTTGGTTGTGGGCCGATAGAGTGCAAAGAGGATGACATTGAAGGGATGATAACACTCATGTGACAGCGCTTACACTACCAAGAGATTGAGATAACGAGGGGTCAGTGGTCAGCGGTGGTTTCTTGCAGGTCTACAAAAGGTCCCTGTCCACGCTTTCTAGTTGCTTGCCCCTGCCGTTTGATAAAATTTTGACCGAGTCAATCCTAGCAATCTCTGAACATTTCGCATATGGGTGCTTGCGCGACTCGTGGTCGTCCTTGTTCTACCTTTGTGCGCCTGCCAACATCTGCCACTGTCCCGCTCAGGGTGCCCATAAGTAGTCGTACCTCTCAGCCGCACGAATACAAGCACAAGTGACAGAGAATGTTCACTCAAGGGAGTAAAAGCTGCAGGAGCATCCCGGGACTCGACTCGTGTGTGTCCGACTCCACTTCCCTTGACCCCGTGACAAGTTTCTGAGCAGACTCTAGATTTTCTAGTGCCCTGTTCCCTCATCCACTGAGTTTTCTGATCCAAGCAACTGGGAAGCAACTGCCGTTCAAAGCCTTGGACCTCACCACACCTTTCGTCGTCTCTCTGCAGTCCTCACTCAAGTGGGCAGCCATGACGCTCATCAGCCTGCGCCAAGCCGTCATCTTCATGCTGGCGCTTATCGGCGGAACCCGCGCGGCAACGATGGACGATATCACCGCCTTGGTGCAGGGAGACATCCGCACGAAACAGACGCTGGCTCTCGACAACCGGGGCCTGACCGGGCCGATCCCCCCCGAGCTGGGCCTCTTAACCAACCTAACCCTCCTAAGCCTAGCCGCAAACACGCTCACCGGCCCCATTCCCCCGGAGCTCGGGAACCTGACGAACCTGAGGTTTCTAACCCTGTCGGGAAACAGGCTGTCGGGGGGGATCCCCGGGGAGTTGGGCAAGCTATCCGTGCTGGAGTCCTTGGACCTGTACGACAACCAACTCTCGGGGCCCATTCCCCCCGCCCTGGTTGCCACCCTAACCCGGCTGGTCCGGTTGTCCGTGTACAACAACAGCCTCACGGGTGCCATCCCCCAGGAGGTCGGGGGACTCGCCTCCCTGGTTGTTCTGGACGCCCGGTACAACCGCCTGACGGGACCCGTTCCGGCGGAACTGGGTCGGCTCGGCAAGCTCCTGCGAGTGGACCTGTCAGGGAACCGGCTCACCGGGGGGATCCCCCTCGAGTTAGGCAACCTGTCGCTCCTGGAGACGCTCGATCTAGACGTCAACTCGCTGTCGGGGCCCATTCCTGCGACGCTCGGCAACCTGCCCCGTCTCCAGACGCTGAATGTCTCCGTCAACAATCTGAACGGCACGATTCCCCCGGCGCTGGGCCGGTTGGCTTCCCTGCAGTATCTGGACGCCTTCTCGAACCAGCTGTCGGGCGGGATTTCCCCCGAGCTGGGTCGGTTGAGCAATCTCCGGTGGTTAGAATTGTTCGACAACCAGCTCACCGGAGGCATCCCCCCGGAATTGGGCGACCTCACGGCTCTTGCCGTGCTTAACCTCGCCGTCAACGCTCTAACCGGGCCCATTCCCCCGACCCTGGGCAAGTTGAGCAACCTGGGTTATCTTTACCTCTATAACAACAGCCTTACTGGCGGCGTGCCGACTGAGCTTGGGAACCTAACCCGGCTCTCGGAGCTCGACTTGTACAACAACAACCTCACGGGCCCCATTTCCGCAAGCCTCGGCGGCCTTCCCTTCTTAACCTACCTCAACCTGGCCGCCAACTATCTCAACGGCTCCATCCCCCGGCAGTTCGGCGCGCTAAACAACCTCGAAACCCTCTTCTTGTGGGACAACGCCCTCTCTGGCCCCATTCCCTCGGAGTTCGGGCGCCTGCGGAAACTCCAACTCCTGGAGCTGTCGTTTAACGGGCTGTCGGGTCCTGTCCCCTCAGAGATTGGCAACCTAACCGCGCTGTCTTACCTGGGGCTTCGCGGCAACTACCTGAACGGGACCATACCGGGCGAATTGGGCGGCCTTAGTAACCTGCAGTATTTGGACCTCTCCTTCAACCGCTTTGCCGGGGGCCTCCCGGCGGCGCTGGCCGGACTAATCAACCTGCGGAAGCTATACGCCCGGGGCACTGCCGTGTACGGCCAGTACACCCCGTTAACCGGCCCGGTTCCCCCGCAACTGGGCGCTCTGCGCAACCTGCGCATTCTGGACCTGCGCGAGCAGCGCTTCTCGGGGGGGATCCCCGGGGCGCTCGGCGCTCTCGGCGCCCTGGAGGAGCTCCACCTCCAGGGCAACAACTTCTCGGGGCCGATCCCAGGGGAGCTGGGCAACCTGCGCAGCCTGCGCGTGCTCAACGTGTCCAACAACCAGGGAGTATACGACGATAAGTACCCCAACGCCTCGAGGGGTCTCGTCGGACCCATCCCCCCGGAACTCGGACGCCTGTCCAACCTCACCGTCCTGGACGTGTCCGGAATGTTCGAGTTCTCGAGTCCGATCCCCCCGGAGCTCTCCGCCTTAGCCCGCCTGGAAGAGCTCTACCTGCAAGACGACAATCTTACGGGGCCTATCCCGCCAGGCCTGGGCAGCTTAACCCGGTTGCGGGTCCTTAACCTGGGCACCGACTCCAAGATCCTGGACGGCGCCGGTAACCGAGAACTCACCGGGCCGTTCCCCCCGGAGCTTGGCAACCTGGCACGGTTGGAGGTCCTCAACCTGGCGGGAGCTCAGAAGTTGACGGGGCCCCTTCCTGGGGAACTCGGTCGATTGTCCCGGCTCAGAATCCTGAACCTGGGTCAGTTGTTCAGCCTGTCGGGTGCAATTCCCCCGAGCTTCGGCAACTTAACCCAGCTGTCCACCTTCAAACTCCCGCGCTGCAACCTGAGTGGTCCCATCCCCCCCGGCCTGTTTGCATCCATGGCAAACCTCGCCTACTTGGATCTCTCGAGCAACAACCTGTCGGGGCCCATTCCTTTCGAATTGGGGGACAACCTACAGTTGCGGGAGATAGACCTCTCGAACAACACCCTCGACGGACCCATTCCCCCGCCCCTTGGCAAGCTCTCGAGCCTCGCCCGTTTGACTCTCCAGTTGAACAACCTGTCCGGGCCCATTCCTCCCGTGTTGGGAAACCTTTCGGAGCTGCGCATATTGAGGTTCAACAACAACAGCCTGACGGGCCCGATCCCAGATCTCAGCAAGCTCGTCGACTTGGAGGAGCTCACGCTAGCTTCGAACCAGCTGTCGGGAAGCATCCCAGAAGATTTGGGCTTCCTGCCCAATGTCACTACATACGGCATCGATCTCTCCAGCAACCGACTGACAGGCCCCATTCCCGTCAGTTTTGGGACCCGGAACTCGTCACTCGGTTTGTCCCTCAACCTAGCCAATAATCTCCTATCCGGCGCCCTCTCCCCGAGACTCTTCCCCGGCGGCAGCCAGGGCTACTTTTATAACACGCTCGACCTTTCCAACAACAGCCTCTCTGGGCCGATCCCGGTGGAGATGGCGAACGTCACCATCGAGACCATACGCCTCGCCAACAACAACCTGTCGGGCCCCCTCCCCCTCCTAGGCAGCGTTTCCATCATTCTGAGAGACCTTGACGTATCCAACAACCGCCTGTCGGGACCCATCCCCCCTTCCCTCGCCAACCTCCCCTTCTGCAAAAACATCCGGCTCCGGAACAACAGCTTCACCGGTCCTGTCCCCCCGAAGCTGCTTCTGTACCTCGGATATCGGACGTCCGGACCCGAGCTCCTAGACTTCTCCCACAACCGCCTCTCGGGGCCCCTCCCGGACGACCTTTGCGTCCCCACGGCGGACCTCAGCTTCAACAGCATAACCGGGGGGATCCCTCGGACCTTTGCCAGAAACTGCACCCTGTTCAACAACTTGGACCTGAGCGAGAACAGCCTGAACGGCCCACCCCCCTCGAACTTCCTCACAACCCGCCGGCTCGTCGGGTTCGACTACCCGGTTCCCCAGTACCTCCTTAACGCCACCAACCTGACGAGCCTGCGGCTAGGGGTTTCCAAAACGGTGGTGTCAACCGTTGACCTGTCGCACGTCCCTGCCGGGTGCAAGGTGGTGACCTTGGTCGGGGCTGCTCCCCGGTTGATCGACATCCGCTTCTGGGAGGGGTGCAAAGAGGGGTGCGTGGTCGATATCATCGGCACAGGGGCGCGCTTAACCCAGAGAACCCGGGAGGAGATCTGCCTCAGCAAGATCTCTGTTTTCATCCGGGGCGATTCCCCGGTCCTCGTTTCCCCGAGCACCCCCGGCGGTCGCCCGCTGCCCCCCTACCTCACAAACGCCCAGGGTAACTACTTGTTTAACGACAGCGGTTTCTTGGACAAGATCGACCTGGGTCCGGGGAGCCTAACCTACACCGGGGTTTCCTTTACTGGGGTCCAGAACGGGAACCTCTGCCGGGAACCTAACGCGCGCCTCACCGTCGCGATCGCGTGGGGGGCGTTCGCCGCGGCCCTCGCGCTCCTGCTCGTCGCGTGCCCGCTCGCGCAGCGCCTGATGCGCGCGCGCGCCGGGGCCGGGAACGGAGCCTCCGGGCTCGACAAGCGCCCGCGTCTCGCGGCCGCGCTGAAGGCCGCGCTCTACTTTTGGGGCGTCCTGACGTCACTGCTGCCGTACTACGACCTGTACACTGACGTCACCGTCCTGCGCCAAGTGGGGGCCGCCTGGCCGCGCGACATTCTCCTGCCGTCCATCGTCGCGCCGTTCCTAGTTGCCGGCCTGTTCGCGGCGGACGCCTGGGCCGTCTCGGGGGGCATCTTCGGCCTGCCGTCCTGCCCCCCCGGGCTGCGGTTCGTGATGTGGCCGCCCCATATCCTCGGCAATAAGCGGTGGTCTCGGAGGACCCTGTACGAGGGCGCCCCGCTGCTGAAGGGCGGCCGCTGGCTGAAGCTGCTCTACCTGTGGCCCCTCGCCATTCTGCGCTTCCCCATGTTGGACGTACTGGGGATCGCCGCCAACTGCGGGTGCTTCGCGCGCGCGCCACGTGACCTCGACTCCGGGCCCGGTGAGGCGCTAGCTTCGGCTCGTGTTCGATCTGAGGCTAGGGATTTTTCAGTCCCCCCATTTTGTCCCCAACCTCTGAGTTTCCTTGTCTCAAATGGAGAATGTTTTTAAGTAGGGGACAGAACACTGGGAAAATCTGTGCTCCCACATCCTAAGGGTGTGCTCAAGCTCTGCTTGTCGCCTTTTGGAGGGCGTACGAACACCCTGCAGTGATTTACGACCGGGCAGAAATTCTACTTGTGACCCTCCTTTCGGGGTCTGCTCTCCCTTTTGCAAAAGCCCTACGTGGGCTTATCGCCGAAGTCTCTACGCGGTTACTCAGCAGACGGGTCTGTGAGTTCGGAAGGGCCTGATGTCTTGGGTTTGTATAAACTCTGCTTAAATTTTCAATGGCGAGTTGAGCACTGTTGCGGCTAACCCGTATGGGTTCCGGACAGGTACTGATGCTTTTTGTCGCTCTCTCTTAGGCCGTGCCTCCGTCTTTAGTTTTTCCCGTGACCCCGTCCCAACCCCGGCTACCCTCTTCTGGCCGGACGCCCTCCCACATGCTCGTTCGCCTGCTCAGATCACCCGCTCACACTGTGCCCTGGTTTTACCAACCGCTGACGTCATCATCCAACTGAACCGTCCACGTGTTTGTCACCCGCTCGAAAGACGTCCTGTGCTTCGTACTTTTCTTCATATCATAGATGAACCTTTAGTCGTTGTCTTGAAAGACAGAACAAGGTCAGATCAGTGGGGATCCTCGAAACTTGAGGAGTGTCTTTTGCTAGAGGTTTCTGATACAAAGGGCTGACAGTTCGCGTGAGCGATTCGCGCTCTCGACCAGAAGAAGCAGCTCACCCTTAAACCAGTTCGTTCAGTGAGCGTCTTCGCACACAGCTCTCTATTTGTGGTTGAATCATGGAATTGGTATGATACGGGCATTTTGAGTGCGGAGCGCGTCATCTGTCGGGAGTAGGTTTTCAACTTTGGCTTCTGCCCTGAGCATGTTCCTTGGTCAATTTGCGCTTACTCAACCTGACATCGAGAGGTAATCTTCGCCGCTCTCGATTGGAAATCAACGACCTTTGCGCGCTCGACTAAAATGAGCAGCTCAAACCTAAACCACTTCGTTCAAGAAGCGTCTTCGCACTTCCGATTGAGAATCAACCACCCCGTCTCCTTTTCCCGCAGCGGTCGTGGGCATGGAGGAGTACCTCGCCTCGCGGCAGCACCTGGACACCCTCCTCCGGGCGCTGCCCCAGTCCATCTTCCAGTCGGTGCTATACGTACTGGGCAGCTCCCGGGGCACGCGTATCTACATCGACCGCGCGATCTTCCTGCAGTCCATCGTCGCGTCCCTTGCGTCGCTCGCCGCGTACGTCGGGAAGCTGTACTGGGAGGCCCTCGAAAGCGGGGAGAGCTTCCCGGCGGTGTTCTGGCCGCGGCCGCGCAAGATGCGCGCGGTCACCTTCTTCGCCGAGGAGCGCGGCGCGGCCGCGGGCGCGGGGCTGTCCTGGAAGGACGCGCAGCTGGAGGGTGAGGGTTTCCCCACGTGTCGCTTCGGAATGCGTTCCTGCGCTCCGCGGGGGCGGGTTGCCGAGTATTCGCGCATCTGGTTGGCCCCTTCGAAGATGGATAAGCCGGATGAAACGTTTTCGTTACGTGGAACCCGTGATCCTGACCCGGCCAAGCCGGGTCGGCCTCGTCAAGCGCCTCCGCTGGTTGGCAAACAGAGAGTTCTTCTTCTTCCGTAACGAAAACCACTTTCCCAACTTGGCGCTTCCTTACGAGAGCGCTCGGTCTCTGGACGAATGGGGTACTTTGCACCCTATCTTGCGTTCGTTCAGGATATCTGCACGCCCGGAACGCCCTTCTTTTCAGTCAAACGTAACGTCCTTGAAGAGCTCAACTCTTTCTTAAGAATGTCAACGTCAGGAGTCAGACCTTCGGATTGGTTTATGACATCAAATCATGAGTTTTGGGTTTCTGACACCCGGGTTTGTGACTTCTGCTCTACGGATTTCAACATTGTAACCTCTGCTCTGCCTCCGCTTTGCCTCTGCGCGTAAACATCCCGTTGAGTCCAAAGAAACCCGAATCCTCGAATGTTCTCGCTCAACAGTACTGTTATGCCCTATGCAGTTCCCGCCTGATTTGAGACGTGGGTGTCGATACAGGACAGACTGGCAAGGCTCGGATATCTCGCAGTAGGCAACGGTCTCCACTAGTCCCGCCAAGGCTCTGGTCATCCCTCCAATAATAGTGTTTGGGGGTTAAGGACTAGGTTTGACTGAATGAAGCCTAATTTCTGTGCATTCAGCCCCATTCTCAAACATTAACCCTTATTCTTGACCTCATTCTGACATGCAGAATGCAAAAATGACAGGAAACAAGATTTAGTACCAAAAATGACTG